TGTGTGTGTGTACACAAAGTTATTTCACCACAAGAAGTGGCAGAATACACCCCTCCTGTCCCACTGCCCATCCCCAACCCCCTTTCAAAAGACAGCAAGTTGAAGGTCTGGTCTATTCCATCTATCGTATCCCCTGTTCCTAGCTCTACAGAGCAGAGCAAGGCAGTATGGCCTGTGAAGCCACAGGGGAACACTTTCTCACTGGGTAAACTGTGTCTCATAACCCCATCATCTAAGCAGAATCAAGCACGCTGCAGTCGTGTCAAACACTGCTACAAAACCATTGACTACCGTCTTCTCTTCACACCCTGACTAGTTAGTCTGTTTAGAGCAAAATGTTCAAGGTGTTCTCAGAACCCTGCTATTAGAACAGGTCTTCTAGACTAGGGGTTCTCAAAATGGGGTCCGGAGGTACTGCAAGGGGTCCGCGGACAGATATCGAAACATATATCAAACTAAATGTAAAAAATATATATTTTTTAATGAATATTACTAACAGATTAAACACATTTTGGCCAAGTGATCCATGGAATAAATTGAGGGTGTAATCCAATACAATGTAATATTATTAATATAGAATGTATGTTCTTAACCCTTGGCAACATGGGCTTGGAAGGCTAACAGGGATATTGGTATCCACGGTACATCTTTTCAAATCAATATTTCCTTTTATTCCCCAAAATGATATAAAAAATATATATAAAATGCACCGTAATTTAAGCTTTAAAACTGCAACAAAAAATCTCTCTGCCCCATGACAAAATGTGTAGAATTGCAGAACATTTGCTTGAAAACTGCAACATTTTCTCTTCGATGCCAAGAGATGGGCCTTTAAAATGTTTGTTTTCAGGGTCTGAGATTTGGTTCTCCCTTATATGCAATTTTTCATCTCACTCGAGTTGTGTTCGGATTATGAGGAGAGTCCCTGATGAATTTGACATCACAAAAGGGGTCCCCGGACCTAAAACGTTTGAGAACCCCTGTTCTAGACTGCCCTCTCTTCAACCGCCCTCTCTTCAACCTTTTCCCTCTCACCCCGGGTCCCTAACTGAGCCATGTCCAGTTCAAAAGGGTTTTCATAAAAATATAACATGCATGGAATGACTTTCCAGTTCAAAAGGGCTTTCATAAAAATATAGCATGCATGGAATGACTTACTGTAAGAAGAGCACCTTGTGTGATTATATGATCTTTGTAAGAATGTTGCTTTTCCCTGTCCAGGTTCTAAGAGCACTCGCTGGAGCCTCTCCCTCCATAGAGCTCCACATATAAGTTGTCCTTAGGCACAGATATAGGACCAGCCATAACCAATTCTAACCATACTCATTAGGGGAGAAAACGCTAAACTGATCTGTGATCAGTATCCAGAGGTAACATCAACCTGCTGCCTGTGGGGACTGTAACACTATCAGTATCTCAGTGGGAAATCTGAACAACATTCTCATAGGGCCAGTAAACTCGAAACAAGTAAACTCGAAACTGATAAATATCTTTCTGATAATGTGCATAAATGCACACAAATAGGCTTCACATACATTTCACTAAACACTGACCTTCTTACTAATCATAAATAAATAAAACAATCAACGAGCTAAAACCAAGTAAATCTGAAATGTTACTTAAAATGGTTTATATTTCTGCATTTCTGAACCGGTGACTCACCACTCATTGTTTTGGTGCAACAAAGAGAAGAGTAAGAGAAATGGTTGATGAGAAAGAATGAAGAAAGGACAGGGGCTTCTGTTGCATTCTGGTTCTGCAAAGATCAATCATTCTGCATATCTGTGCATCTTTTTAAGTGAAGTATGTTATGCAGCCTTATGATAGACAACTACACTGGCCAGAAGGAGTCCCAATTCAACCCTACCTCAACAGTCAACCATGGGTTTTCTATAGATGACAGCTCACACAGTAAAACGCAGCGCTCCAGTCCAGACACACAGAGGTTCCAGACGGTCATCTCCATGTCAATCACACTCATTGTGTCCCAAATGGCACTCTATTCTCTATGTAGTACAGTGCACTATATAGGGAATAGGGTGCCATTTCTGACGCAACCTCAGTTTGTGAATTCTTGACTTGAACTTGACCCCAGCTCTGAAACATGCGACCACACAGTCAGGGAGCACTACCTGGCAATAGTCTTTACACTGATATTTACTGGTCCACTGAATGTGTAGTCAGTCATTAGAGTACTTCCAACTTGTGAGGTGTGACCTGTATTGTATATCAAAAGGAACTGTAAATAAAGTTATATTTGAAGTTGAGGTGCAGATTCCTACAGTTGATGTGAGGATGGAAGAAGGGAGGGTGAGGGAGGTGAGTGATGGAGAGAGGATTGGGGGCGGGGGTAAGGGTGGCATATAAAACCAAACAAGTGAACAGTGTCAACAATATGAACAATGACACCAGTAACAATCATGACAATAATAGTAATCAATAGTCAGAATCAATAGGTGCAGGACAAGATTGTACAGTCTGTGAGCCATTGTGAAAAAATACCCCCAGAACACCCCTCCCCCCGCCCCTATAAACATCTTAAAATACTCTCTACCCCACCCCCCAACCATTAAACCTGAAGACTATGCTATTGTGTCTGTAAATCAAACAATGTGTTCACTTGAACAGAACAGTAGTGTAGACCTCTGACACCTGTATCAGAGTAGGGCAGAGCAGAGGGAAGGGGAGACTATGGAGATCAGGGATAGGATTGGTACTATAAAAATCACCTATTTTCTCTCACTATTTTTCACTTGTCAGGCATCTGGGTACAAAAGATTTCAAAGTGTCTTTCTGGTAATTTGCCTAGCTAAATCTGTGGAGCGTCTCTCCATTTCTTTCCTTTGTAAACCATGCACTGGTGTTACTCTGCATGTAAGCCTTTATCATAGCATGGTCTTCACTCAGGCTATGGCTTGGGCAGTGGTCACACCACCTATTCCACCATGAATGTGCTGACAAACACAACAGAACACTAGACTAAGTATGAATCGAACACAATAACAAAATGAAGGACATCAGTGAGATAGAAAAAGGTCTGCATTTTAAAAACTACGTTGTGATCGCACAACTAGCAAACCAAGTGCATTTGCTTTGTGCTAAAGCGTTGTAGCCTCTCTAAATAAAGATGAAACATTTTTGAAAGTGTCCTTATGAACTGCTTATGAACATTGTTACACAGTTTGTTAACTATTACATTGTATAGTCTGTTATTGATGATTTATATGATTATAGGTCCTTACAGGTAATACATGTTAATAAATGTTACATTTTAATAAATGTACTTACAGCAATGACTTGCAAGCTGTTAATACTAGTTAAATTATCCAATAATGGCTTATAAGCAGTTTATAAGTCAACCTTCAAATGCCGTATTAATTCCAGTTGCAATAACCGCAGCTGGTTGAGGGAGTATGCGTTCAGGAGAGAGCTGGTTTTGGTGGTGTTTGTTAACAATGCTAAAGATAATACTGACACAGTAAGGCTTGCAAGCTGACTGGGTGAACATCAACATTCCCAGTCCTAAATCAAGCCCTCGACCCCAGCCCTATCTCTTACCCCTGGCCTAGACACTTCTTCATGGAACCTCCTGGATTGAAAGAAACAGACAGGCGTAATCAGTGGTACTAGCTTCAACTATCCCTTTAGAGGGCTAGAAGGAGCTTTTACCAGGATACTTACATCCATTCTCCTTCAGATCTATGAGAGGTCATTTAGATGTGTCCAGGACTAGGGGACTAGGAAAAGTGTCCTGGACTAGGGCACTAGGAGAAGTGTCTAGGGCTAGGGGGCTATGAGAGGTGTCCAGGACTAGGAGAAGTATCCAGGAATAGGGGAAGTGTCCAGGAATAGGGGAAGTGTCCAGGACTAGGGGGCTAGGAGAAGTGTCTAGGGCTAGGGGACTGAGGGCCCTTCGTCAAGTGGATGACATTGTCTGTTTGTTGGGTGATCTGTTGTGTTTGAAGTGTGGCTGTGTTATGTGGGTAAAAGCCAAATAGAGGAGCAGGTTTCAGCTAACATTCTGTGCATTAACTCTTGCGACTAATAGTGCGAAACGAAGATCACAATCACTTTGCATGGCTAAGGTCTGCCACTTGACAACCCACTTGCAGCTACACTATCTGCATGTCTGCATGCAATTAAGCTTGTGTTTGCTAGTGTGTGCGTGTGTGTAAATGTAGTGTGCAGGCAAATTATTAGTCTAATGTGAATTTGCATCAAGCCTCTCCAGCTTTCATCCAGTCCCCTTTCAACAGGACTACATTTCCCATAACCACCGTGGGCAGTGTAGGTTTGCTAAACAGGGCTGACTGACTAGCGTCATCTGATTCTCATTGGGTCTGTAATGTGTCAATCATTCAGCTTTAAAACTTTTGCTGTAAATGAGATACTGTCCATCCATCTGTCTGTCTCGGTCCTTAAACAGGGAATGCGCCAGCGCAAGTGACACACACAACCCCATCACAATGTCATGGGTGGGCATTCACACACATGCACGCGGAGGCCACCGGGAGTATAATATATTCAGAGTTGGTTCAACAGCTGAGAAGAAACCTTTTATTTCTTGGAATTAATGTAGACCGGTTGACTGATGTAGACAGGTTGACCTTGAAAATAAGTGCTTTAACTTGACGACACAGTAGAAATACTGTATTGGGACGATAGGGACCTCAATAAGGGGGCTGTCTAAGACACTGCTCTTATGCACACATACTAGGCAGAGACGAGAGCCAGAGAGTGTTGCAACTCCACCTGAACCCTCCTCTATAAGGACATTATTATAACACGCTAATGACACCTGTTATAACATGCATATAACAGCATGGATAGGGCATAAACAGGGAGTTATACAGACACACACAGACATACAAGACAGGGTTGAGCATGTCACACTGCACTGACGCAACCCAAAAACCTCCACCCCTCCCTTCCTCTCCTCCCGTCCATGGTTCCAAGCTCCATCCCTTCCCCCTCCCCTCCACCCCGGTTCTACCCATCTGCTATACCCCGCTCTCCCCTGGTTCTGTGACTCCCTCCATCTCTGCTGGCTTCCCTGCCTCCCCCCGTCCACCCCTACGTCTGCAGGCCTTGCGGATCGCGTTCCACTGGTAGCCGCTGAAGGTGGGGCTGATGGGGAAGTATTGGAAGACGGTGTGGCGACGCAGGAAGTCCATGCCGAATGGCAGGTCGTAGGTTCTCATCCCCTCCAGCTCCGCAGCACTGGGTCCCGACCCTCGCTTCAACTTCCCGATCCCTCGCTCCTCCCTGGTACCTGACAGGAGGAAATGAGAGAGAAAGGAGGAAGAGGGGGTGAGCGATTGGAGAAGGCAACAGTTTGTGATATCCTTGTCCTGTCTCTAAATGCAATCACAAGGGATAGATAGTGTTATTACTATAAGGGTTAGGAGTACAGTAGTAGAGTAATAGTAGTAGTGTGATAGTCCAGTCTATTCAACAGGGATAGTGTTATAACTAACAGTGATAGTCCAGTCTATTCAGCAGGGATAGTGTTATAACTAACAGTTAGTGTGATAGTACAGTCTACTCACCAGGGATAGTGTTGTCCAGCACAAATGCCACTGACCCCCCTACGAACATGGCTGTGGTCAGGAGCACGTTTAACACCTGGTCTATTGACACTATACCTGAGAGACAGAGAGAGAGAGGGGAGAGAGAGAGAGGGGAGAGAGTTCAGAGAGCTACCCAGTCCTATTATATGTGTGAACACTGAAGGAGTAGGCCATTGAGCTAATTCTATAGTGCACTCTAACTTGTCCTCTACTCACCAGTGACCAGAGGGTTCTGTTTGAGATAGCTGGGCAGCACCAGGCCAAAGAAGATGGAGAAGCCCAGAACAAAGAGGTTCCTGGAGGAGTTGAGGTCTACAAACTGCAGGTTGGACAGTCCCACAGCCGTGATCATCCCGAACAGGGTACAGAACAGCGCCCCCAGGACAGGGTCAGGCAGGGAGGCGAACAACGCGCTGAATTTACCCACCAGCCCTAGCAGCAGCATCATAGCAGCACCGTACTGGATCACACGCCGGCTGCCCACCTGGAGGACCAATCAGAGAGCAGCTGGGAGTGAGAGAGCGAATCAAAGGATATCAGGAAGAATAAAACTGTCCCACTCTACAGAGCCAATAAGATCCAAGCATACTAGTCAGTGAGGGATTTTTTTAATTCTGGGACCGGGTTGAACCGGCAATGGCCTGTCACATCATCGGGCGAAAGCGGGAAGGGAGCTGCGCCCTTCTCAAATCGAACAGTAATCTGCGCCGCTCGGTCATGTTGTCAACAAGGCAGCATGATGCATCGTCCAGAAACACACATCTCTTTTCCATAAAATAAATGTTAGAATTTTCAAACTAGTTTTCATTCGGAAGGCAGATAAACCGTTTTTATCAGAAATAATCACTTTTGCATGGGAAAACACAGAATCCTACTAATTACTACAGATGCTTAATTAAGTCACTTTTGTTTTGAGCCAACTTCGCCGTCTGGTCAAAAATTAAATGCCTACACGGGCATATAGAACTCGTAGTAGGACTGTGTGTTGATGTGTGATGGTTACCTTAGTGATGCCCAGCACACCTATATTAGGACTGGAGGAAGTAGAGCCGTTTCCTGTCCCCATCAGCCCATCCAACACGCAGGACAGACCTTCCATAAATATACCCCTACAGAGAGAGAAAAATGTAGTTTTTGAATCTGTTTTTTCAGGTAGTTACAGGTACACACACGGATCTCAAATCATGATTCAAACCATTATGTCTGCGTGATGTAAGCAGATTGATTCTACTTTTCTAGCAAACTTTTCTATTATGTGCATTAGGCAAGGAGCTATGCGAGAAAGGTCAGGTACCTATTGATGGCGTGAACAGGGGGTGGGGGGGCACAGGAGAGTCGTGCACAGGCGTAGTAGTCCCCGATGGACTCGATGATGCTGGCGACCACGGCACTGAACATACCTATCACCCCTGCCGCTGTTACCGTAGGAACACCCCACTGAACTATGGGTAAAAACACAAACTCAACACACAACATTCTAGATTTGAGGAAGCTACGAACCTGTTGAATGCTCTTATCAAGAGTTTGGACTTTTCTAGGGGCGAGGTTGAACAACATGAGGGGTAACTCACAGGGGTAGGGGATCTTGAACCAAGGGGCAGCTGCCAGTATCCCCTGGCGTGCGTCGGTGCGGGCGTAGTAACCGTACTTGTCTTTCTCCGGCGGGAAAACGTTGGTTACAGTGAAGATGAAACAGATCAGCCATGACACCAGGATGGCCATGATGATCTGAGGGGGAGGGAACACCAAGGGTTAAACATGACCGTCAAAACACACAGAAAAACACATACAATATGTCCTGGTGAGTTACACTGAAGAGCACCATAATAAACTGGTGCTGAGTGATGATGATGATGATGGTGGTGATTACTTTATTCAAGTATGGGACAGTTGTGATGTCACCAGTTCAAACAGTAAAGAGCAGTTTAATAAATAGTAGACCTTTGGTGGAATGCTACTTCAATGAGTGCTTTTAACATTTTATCATTTGAAAATGCTATTCCCCCCCCTCTATTCTCCCACATTCTTAAAGTAAATAGTAACATAATAAAGAGGGGAACCTTTAATGAGACAGGGAGAGAGAGAGAGAGTGAAGTCACCAGTACTAGCAAAGAATCCTTTCCAGTGTCTACTGTTATATTACAGCAGCAGATATATATCATGACATCAAATGACCAGCAGGGGGGAGAGAGAAGCACCATAGAAGACTGAATCACTTCAGATCTTATTAAGAGGAATGGGGAAGGAGTAGACAGGGGAGGTGAATAATATTAGAACAGCAGGACTCAACAAGTAATGGGAGGATGGAAAGAGGTAGGAGATAGTGGAGTTTGTGCCCATTTGTCTGACCTCACTTGGATCTGTGACAAATCAGATCAAAAGACACACTCCGTTCCAGGAAAAGTGATGTGTGTGTGTTTGTGCACTCACGTGTGCCCCTGCCAGTGTATTTCTCAATTATTCTGTGTGCATCAGTGTTTGTGTGTGCATGTGTGTGCGTGCACGTGTGAGGGTACTCACGGGGAACATCTTGAAGAGCTGTAATCTATAAGAGGTCCATCCTTTCTTAGCCTTGTAGATGGGCAGAGGAAGCTGTACGTTCCTCGCATACTGAGAGAACAGCAACACCAGGAATATAGTCCTACAGACAGACAGAGAAAGATATGACAAGTAAGAAATACAGCAGCCAAGGGTCAAGGAAAAGCAGTAAGCACACCTGCAAATGTCCAGTATGTGCTTTGTTTTGTAGAACAGTTAAACATTTGTAAAGAGACGCAATAACCCTCCAATAAAGACTGCCATAAAGACGTCTGGATCCAAAGGTGTCATTCTCAAAAGGGACACAAAATCAATTAATTGATAACTTAAAGAAGTTACATATAACATACAGTGCATTAGGAAAGTATTCAGACCCCTTGACTTTTTCCACATTCTAAAATTGATTAAATTGTTTTTCCTCATCAATCTACACACAATACCCCACAATGACGAAGCAAAAACAAGATTAGACATTTGCTAATTTATTAAAAATGAAAAATCACATTTACATAAGTATTCAGACCCTTTACTCAGTACTTTGCACATTTGGCAGCGAAAACAGCCTCGAGTCTTCTTGGGTATGACGCTACAAGCTTGGCACACCTGTATTTGGGGAGTTTCTCCCATTCTTCTCTGCAGATCCTCTCAAGCTCTGTCATGTTGGATCGGGAGCGTCACTGCACAGCTATTTTCAGGTCTCTCTAGAGATGCTTGATCGGGTTCAAGTCCGGGCTCTGGCTGGGCCACTCAAGGACATTCAGAGACTTGTCCCGAAGCCACTCTTGCGTTGTCTTGGCTGTGTGCTTAGGGTCGTTTTCCTGTTGGAAGGTGAACCTTCGCCACAGTCGGAGGTCCTGAGCGCTCTGGAGCAGGTTCTCATCAAGGATCTCTCTGTACTTTGCTCCGTTCATCTTTCCCTCGATCCCGTCTAGTCTCCTAGTCCCTGCCGCCGAAAAACATCCTCCAGACGTAACGCTTGCCATTCAGGCCAAAGAGTTCAATCTAGGTTTCATTAGACCAGAGAATCTTGTTTCTCATGGTCTGAGAGTCCTTTAGGTGCCTTTTGGCAAACTCCAAGCGGGCTGTCATGTGGCTTTTACTGAGGAGTGGCTTCCACCTGGACACTCTACCATAAAGGCCTGATTGGTGGAGTGCTGCAGAGATGGTTGTCCTTCTGGAAGGTTCTCCCATCTCCACAGAGGAACTCTGGAGCTCCGTCAGAGTGACGATCAGGTTTTTGGTCATTTCCCTGACCAAGGCCCTTCTCTCCCCGATTGCTCAGTTTGGCCGGGCGGCCAGCTCTAGGAAGATTCTTGGTGGTTCCAACCTTCAAAGCTGCATAAATGTTTTGGTACCCTTCCCCAGATCTGTGCCTCGACACAGTCCTGTCTAGGTGCTCTACGGACAATTATTTCGACCTCATGGCTTGGTTTTGCTCTGACATGCACTGTCAACTGTGGGACCTTATATAGACAGGTGTGTGCCTTTCCAAATCATGTCCAATCAATTGAATTTACCACAGGTGGACTCCAATCAAGTTGTATAAACATCTCAAGGACAATAAACAGGATGCACCTGAGCTCAATTTCGAGCCTCATAGCAAAGGGTCTGAATACTTATTTAAATAAGGTATCTGTTTTTTATTTGTAATACATTTACAAACATTTCTAAAAACCAGTTTTTGCTTTGTCATTATGGGGTATTGTGTGTAGATTGATGAGGGAAAAAATGAATGTAATCCATTTTAGAATAAGGCTGTAACATAACATTTGGAAAAAGGGAAGGGGTCCGAATACTTTCCGAATGCACTGTATGTGATGCTGTGCTGTTTGAGATGAGATGCAAGCCACATTTCCCAAAAGAGACACAATAAAATAAATGAATGAATAACTAGCACATTAGAGGCTGCTGCTGCTGCCTATTGAAATCACTGGCCACTTTAAGAAATGGAACACTAGTCACTTTAATAATGTTTACATATCTTGCACTACTCATCTCATATGTATACAGTGGGTAAAAAAAGTATTTAGTCAGCCACCAATTGTGCAAGTTCTCCCACTTAAAAAGATGAGAGAGGTCTGTAATTTTCATCATAGGTACACGTCAACTATGACAGACAAATTGAGGAAAAAAAAAAATCCAGAAAATCACATTGTAGGATTTTTAATTAATTAATTTGCAAATTATGGTGGAAAATAAGTATTTGGTCACCTACAAACAAGCAAGATTTCTGGCTCTCACAGACCTGTAACAACTTCTTTAAGAGGCTCCTCTGTCCTCCACTCGTTACCTGTATTAATGGCACCTGTTTGAACTTGTTATCAGTATAAAAGACACCTGTCCACAACCTCAAACAGTCACACTCCAAACTCCACTATGGCCAAGACCAAAGAGCTGTCAAAGGACACCAGAAACAAAATTGTAGACCTGCACCAGGCTGGGAAGACTGAATCTGCAATAGGTAAGCAGCTTGGTTTGAAGAAATCAACTGTGGGAGCAATTATTAGGAAATGGAAGACATACAAGACCACTGATAATCTCCCTCGATCTGGGGCTCCACGCAAGATCTCACCCCGTGGGGTCAAAATGATCACAAGAACGGTGAGCAAAAATCCCAGAACCACACGGGGGGACCTAGTGAATGACCTGCAGAGAGCTGGGACCAAAGTAACAAAGTCTACAATCAGTAACACACTACGCCGCCAGGGACTCAATTCCTGCAGTGCAAGACGTGTCCCCCTGCTTTAGCCAGTACATGTCCAGGCCCGTCTGAAGTTTGCTAGAGTGCATTTGGATGATCCAGAAGAGGATTGGGAGAATGTCATATGGTCAGATGAAACCAAAATAGAACTTTTTGGTAAAAACTCAACTCGTCGTGTTTGGAGGACAAAGAATGCTGAGTTGCATCCAAAGAACACCATACCTACTGTGAAGCATGGGGGTGGAAACATCATGCTTTGGGGCTGTTTTTCTGCAAAGGGACCAGGACGACTGATCCGTGTAAAGGAAAGAATGAATGGAGCCATGTATTGTGAGATTTTGAGTGAAAACCTCCTTCCATCAGCAAGGGCATTGAAGATGAAACGTGGCTGGGTCTTTCAGCATGACAATGATCCCAAACACACCGCCCGGGCAACGAAGGAGTGGCTTCGTAAGAAGCATTTCAAGGTCCTGGAGTGGCCTAGCCAGTCTCCAGATCTCAACCCCATAGAAAATCTTTGGAGGGAGTTGAAAGTCAGTGTTGCCCAGCGACAGCCCCAAAACATCACTGCTCTTGAGGAGATCTGCATGGAGGAATGGGCCAAAATACCAGCAACAGTGTGTGAAAACCTTGTGAAGACTTACAGAAAACGTTTGACCTGTGTCATTGCCAACAAAGGGTATATAACAAAGTATTGAGAAACTTTTGTTATTGACCAAATACTTATTTTCCACCATCATTTGCAAATAAATTCATTAAAAATCCTACAATGTGATTTTTTGGATATTTTTTTCTCATTTTGTCTGTCATAGTTGACGTGTACCTATGATGAAAATTACAGGCCTCTCTCATCTTTTTAAGTGGGAGAACTTGCACAATTGGTGGCTGACTAAATACTTTTTTTCCCCACTGTATACTGCATTCTATTCTATAATATTCTACTGTATCTTAGTCCAGGCCACTCTGTCATTGCTTGTCCATATACAGTGGGGAGAACAAGTATTTGATACACTGCCGATTTTGCAGGTTTTCCTACTTACAAAGCATGTAGAGGTCTAATTTTTATCATAGGTACACTTCAACTGTGAGAGACGGAATCTAAAACAAAAATCCAGATAATCACATTGTATGATTTTTAAGTAATTAATTTGCATTTTATTGCATGACATAAGTATTTGATCACCTACCAACCAGTAATAATAATAATAATAATAATAATAATATGCCATTTAGCAGACGCTTTTATCCAAAGCGACTTACAGTCATGCGTGCATACATTTTTTTGTGTATGGGTGGTCCCGGGGTTCGAACCCACTACCTTGGCGTTACAAGCGCCGTGCTCTACCAGCTGAGCTACAGAGGAGTAAGAATTCCGGCTCTCACAGACCTGTTAGTTTTTCTTTCTTACCTGTATTAACTGCACCTGTTTGAACTCGTTACCTGTATAAAAGACACCTGTCCACACACTCAATCGAACAGACTCCAACCTCTCCACAATGGCCAAGACCAGAAAGCTGTGTAAGGATCTCAGGGATAAAATTGTAGACCTGCACAAGGCTGGGATGGGCTACAGGACAATAGGCAAGCAGCTTGGTGAGAAGGCAACAACTGTTGGCGCAATTATTAGAAAATGGAAGAAGTTCAAGATGACGGTCAATCACCCTCGGTCTGGGGCTCCATGCAAGATCTCACCTCGTGGGGCATCAATGATCATAAGGAAGGTGAGGGATCAGCCCAGAACTACACGGCAGGACCTGGTCAAATGACCTGAAGAGAGCTGGGACCACAGTCTCAAAGAAAACCATTAGTAACACACTACGCCGTCATGGATTAAAATCCTGCAGCGCACGCAAGGTCCCCCTGCTCAAGCCAGCGCATGTCCAGGCCCAGCTGAAGTTTGCCAATGACCATCTGGATGATCCAGAGGAGGAATGGGAGAAGGTCATGTGGTCTGATGAGACAAAAATAGAGCTTTTTGGTCTAAACTCCACTCGCCGTGTTTGGAGGAAGAAGAAGGATGAGTACAACCCCAAGAACACCATCCAAACCGTGAAGCATGGAGGTGGAAACATCATTCTTTGGGGATGCTTTTCTGCAAAGGGGACAGGACGACTGCACCTTATTGAGGGGAGGATGGATGGGGCCATGTATCGCCAGATCTTGGCCAACAACCTCCTTCCCTCAGTAAGAGCATTGAAGATGGGTCGTGGCTGGGTCTTCCAGCATGACAACGACCCGAAACACACAGCCAGGGCAACTAAGGAGTGGCTCAGTAAGAAGCATCTCAAGGTCCTGGAGTGGCCTAGCCAGTCTCCAGACCTGAACCCAATAGAAAATCTTTGGAGGGAGCTGAAAGTCCGTATTGCCCAGCGACAGCCCCGAAACCTGAAGGATCTGGAGAAGGTCTGTATGGAGGAGTGGGCCAAAATCCCTGCTGCAGTGTGTGCAAACCTGGTCAAGACCTACAGGAAACGTATGATCTCTGTAATTGCAAACAAAGGTTTCTGTACCAAATATTAAGTTCTGCTTTTCTGATGTATCAAATACTTATGTCATGCAATAAAATGCAAATTAATTACTTAAAAATCATACAATGTGATTTTCTGGATTTTTGTTTTAGTTTCCGTCTCTCACAGTTGAAGTGTACCTATGATCAAAATTACAGACCTCTACATGCTTTGTAAGTAGGAAAACCTGCAAAACCGGCAGTGTATCAAATACTTGTTCTCCCCACTGTATGTATATATTCTTAAATCCCATTCCTCACTAGTTTTGTGTGTATTGGGTAAATGTTGTGAAATTGTTAAATATTACTTGTTAGATATTACTGCACTGTCGGAGCTAGAAGCACAAGCATTTCGCAACATCCGCTATAACATCTGCTAAACACGTATGTATTTTATTTTATTTGAACATAGCAGACACAAACAGTTACCAGCAGACACAGCCCTGCTGAACCTCATGACCCAGAGCTCTCTGTCTGGAGCAGCACAGGGTTCCTACCTCCATTCTGCAGGGCAGCTGTGTCGACTGGGAATGCTTTCTGATTGGCTGTTTAATGGGCAGTTACGGTAATTGATTGGTTAAGGATGCCTCTGGGGGCGGGAATCAGTCTAATAGTGTAACACAAGATAGAAAAGATAAGATAGCATTTTATTGTCTGATTTGACAGAAATGTGCCTTGCACCATAAGAAGACAAAGACAACATATAGAGGGCTGGGAACTGTACAGGGGACTAGTCAGTCAGGACAGCCTAGAACCACAGTGTACTACTCACAGCATGGCGATGCCCCAGTGTTTCCCTGCTCTCTCCCCTGCAGCCTGGAAGCCAGACAGGCCGATGAGGGCCACGGTCGGGGTGATGGTCAGGGGCCCAATGTATTTCAACAGGAGCCCTGGAAGCCCCAGGAAGCCGATACACACCTCTATCAGAGACGACACAATGATAGCCCCCTGGATCTGGGGGGGGGGGCAAAGAGAGAGAGAATAGTACAATTAGTAACATGTAATTTCATAATAAAGTACTTTATTTCTGTGCCAATGTCCATAATTAAATGTAATAGCCCCCCCTGTAGCTCAGTTGGTAGAGCATGGCGCTTGCAACGCCAGGGTTGTGGGTTCGATTCCCACGGGGGCCAGTATGAAAAATGTATGCACTCACTAACTGTAAGTCGCTCTGGATAAGAGCGTCTGCTAAATGACTAAAATGTAAATGTATACGCAGTTATTATCACCATTTGGAGAAGTGATCAGAGGGGAAGTTATCTTAATTTTTCCTTTATAAGAGCAATCTCAACATCTGGAACAAGTCTGTAAAATGAATGACCGTTTAATGAAATTACTACTCCCCCTCCCCTCTCCCTCAATGTCTAATTCTATTCATCGTGACATCGTCATTGAGTTACCCCCTCACACACGTCAAAACAGGGTTACCAAACCGCTTACACAAGACTTATAAAAAGGTTAATGTGAGTTAACCGCCTCTGTCACACTCTCCGTGCACACACGCACACACACACAATGCGTGCATGCACCACGCACACACAACGCACAAGCCTAAAGGCTGAGTCCCAGCAACAGGCCTAAACAAGCATCATCAATTAGAACTCTTTCCACTCTACGTTTTAGTCTAGGCCCAGAGGGTATCACTGTGACTAGGAGGTGCCGAATGGCTAACATGGGCTTTGAACAACACTGACACAGAACACAGGAGTAGACCTCTCTCTGTACACTATGCAAGGTAATGGTTTGGGTACTTTTAAAATATCTTCAATGTCTCCTGCTCTCTCCTATGTCACCCCCCCATCTCTCATTTCATTCCTCCTCCCTCTCTCACCTCTCGAATCCGGGGATGCCAGATGTGTTCAGTGTTGAACAGCTCGGTTTCATTGAACATGGGAGGAACCACTGATGGAGGGACAGAGAAATAATGGAGAAAGATGGAGAAAAAAGAAAACAGAGAATCAGAAAGAAAAGAGAGAAGGATGATTAAACACATATTTATCATCCTGTTACCCGTCGGCGTCCTGTAAAAACCTTGTATCTCGTAAAGTCATGGTTTATTTTCTGATCAATTGCCATGGAGGTTCACAAGGCATTTTGCATGATTTCTATTAGATCTAGAGTAATTAAACGTTCTTAGAACATGAAGGGGGATGACGACTATCGAATTACACTGAACAAAAATATAAACGCAACATGTAAAGTGTTGGTCCCATGTTTCATGAGCTGAAAGAAAAGATCCCAGAAATATCCATATGCACAAAAAGCTTATTTCTCTCAAATGTTGTGCACAAACTTGTTTACATCCCTGTTTGTGAGCATTTCTCATTTGACAAGATAATCCATCTACCTGACAGGTGTGGCATATCAAGAAGATGATTAAACAGCATGATCATTACACAGGTGCACCTTGTGCTGGGGACAATAAAAGGCCACTCTAAAATGTGCAGTTTTGTCACACAACACAATGCCACAGATGTCTCAAGTTGAGGGAGTGTGCAATTGGCATGCTGACTGCAGGAATGTCCACCGGAGCTGTTGCCAGGAAATGTAATGTTCATCTGCCTACCATAAGCCGCCTCCAACGTAATGTTAGAGAATTTGGCAGTACGTCCAACCGGCCTCACAACCGCAGACCACGTGTATGGCATTGTGTGGGCGAGCTGTTTGCTGATGTGAACAGAGTGCCCCATGGTGGCGATGGGGTTATGGTATGGGCAAGCATAAGCTACGGACAATGAACACAATTCAATTTTATCAATAGCAATTTGAATACACAGAGATACCGTGACGAGATCCTGAGGCCCATTGTAGTGCCATTCATCCGCCGCCATCACCTCATGTTTCAGCATGATAATGCACGTCCCCATGTCGCAAAGATCTGTATGCAATTCCTGGAAGCTGAAAATGTCCTAGTTCTCCCTTGGCCTGCATACTCACCATGTTTGGGATGCTCTGGATCGAACTGTTCAACAGTGTGTTCCAGTTCCCGCCAATATCCAGCAACTTCGCACAGCCATTGAAGAGGAGTGGGACAACATTCCACATGCCACAATCAACAGCCTGATCAGCATCAATGCAAATGAGATGTGTTGCGCTGCATGAGGGAAATGGTGGTCACACCAGATACTGACTTTTTTTTTTTTTAAGGTATCTGTGACCAACAGATGCATATCTGTATTCCCAGTCATGTGAAATCCATAGATATGGGCCTAATTTATTTATTTTAATTGACTGATTTCCTTATATGAACTGTAACTCAGTAAAATCTTTGAAACTGTTGCAAGTAGCATTTATACTTTTTGTTCAGTATATGTTTAACAAAATCTAAATCACCGAAAAGTGAAATACAAGGTTCTTCCAGGACACCAACACACCCTGGCACTAAACCTGGAAACCTAATCTGATGCCAACCTGAAAACCTAATCTGATGCCAGCTGAAGTTCCAGTCAGCTCTACTGATGCCAGCTCATGTGAGCAGGAGAGTGAGGGTGAGACCAGGTCATAGTGAAGATACTTGTGGGGTGTGTGTTTGGGTGTGGGTTTACCTGTAGCGTTGCACTTCCACTTGTCTAGTGACAGGATTGCTCTGGCGGGAGCCAGGAAGGCAAATGCACTCGCCTGGAACAGAGGAAGCCTGGAACAACAACAACACACACAATCACTCTATTAGTAAGAATACACACGCACACATTGCTCCAATACACTCTACCTCACTGCTCAGTAGGTAACTTTACACTCTCCACTTGCACTGTATATACTGTTACTTGACATAGTATATTCTGTATTTCTCTTCAATACATCACATTGTGTTTCTTTTTACTGATTTGTATTCGTGCCTTTACATACTATTGCTCTAGTTTTATTTTTTTTGCATTTTTACACTGCACTGTTGAGGAGGCTCGCTAGTAAGCATTTCATTGCACCGTTTACACTGCATCCTGTGCATTTGACTAATAAACTTTGATTTGATTTTACACACACTAAGCATGTTATTCGCTGATTATACAATGGGTGGGTCTAATCCTGGACGCTGATTGGTTAAAACCTCATTCCAGCCGGTGTCTATTCCACAATTTACCACCGGCTAAAGCTATGACGTTAAAATGCCTATTTACTCTGTTCCATCTCACTGCTCAATCCACTGTCTCATCAGCCCAGCCAGACAATTTATAAACTTGATCTCCACTGTAAAAAGCATCTAGACATCATCTCCTATTTCTTTCAGACTAGCAATTGGTTTTCAATAGCAGTGATTTGTATAAAACGTTCGGTCTGTCTCTCTGACATATTGAAATTCTATCTCCAGCTGTCCCATAGTAATGAAAGTGTAGGGGTCAGGAGTCGGGACGAGACAGACAGGCAGGCAGCTTTTCTCAGCCAGTCAAAAATCATGAATCAGCATTATTTTTATGGACATATACAAATAAATGTTAATAGAAAACAGGTAAAACTAAACGAAATGCAGCTAGTTTGCAATCTTCCCAGCTTCAGTTTGAAGTGATTGTGTTAGCTGTCTTGTTGGCTAGCTCCTCTGAACAACAGTGTCCTGACAAGAGCGCACATTTTCTATGCCAGGTGAAATCGAGCATCATTAGCTCATTCTTATGAATGTATCCAAATAAATGTCGCTAGAAAACATCTTAAACAAATGCAAATGCAGCTACTTTGCTGTTATTCTGGCTGCACTGTTTGACGTGACTATAAGTTAGCCGTAGTTGGCTAGCTAGCAAGCAAGGGATAAGAACGTTGCCAGCCAGTATGGCAATGGAACATTTAGAACAAACAACTGGGTCACGTCCATAGATACAGAACAAAAATACTTAACGACTGGGTTAAGCGAATTTACATATTTAGATATTTGTTTCATTGGACTGCAATCACTAAATCGATCCAATCAGTTGATGGAAACATTGTTAGTGTCAGTCAGTTGTATAACAGTTGTAAAAGGGTAAAGTCAGTAATCATAGTGTGCCAACAGCTGGCATGATGGTTATGTGATGATTTTGCCAGTGATATGTGGCCTTTATAGCTGTAAAGCAACAGTTCTCCTGTCTGTCCACTAGGTCTCACTAGTGAACACTGAGCAGCAGGGTCTACCCTGGTTAGGTAACAGTAACAGCATGGACACTGACAGAGCTGCGCTGTTCGAATGGAGCAGGTGCTGGCTGATAATTGCCATTGATTTGAATGCTGGTCAGTGTGCAGTGACACACCATCATTAACTCGAATGACCAACCAGATTAAATAGATCAATGTATTGCGGCGAACGGCGGGGCAGGAAAGCGGACCCAGGTCACTGGCGTAAAAGGCAAACACCCTACGCATCGCGCCAATAGGGTTAACCCACTTGGTGTGAATTGTAACGTGGCTCATATAGCGAGGATCACTACACTGCCCCCTCACACATCCGGGCCATGTGTTCCGATGGCCTCACAGCCGCTATCTCAGTTCTGACACTAATGTAGCTAACGGTGCGGCAGGGAAGCGATCCCTGGTCGATGGCGTGAAAGGCAAACACCCTACGCACCTTTAAAGGCTGACGTGTGTGTGTGTGTGTGGGGGGGGGGGGGGGGGGGGGGGGGGGAGTGAGAGAGCGAGAGATCGTGACAAACGCACAGACGCCAATTTACCCAGCAGCACTCATCTACCTCAGAGGGTCACATGTTGTCCACAGGTGACATCAGCTGTGCACACACTGACACGTAAACACACACATCACCTTTCCTAGAACAGAGTGTTTGTGATCTGACCTTACTGATCTGACCTCACTTGGCACCATGACACATCAAACACAGCCACTAGCACTCCTCTCCTCTCTCCATTTCCCTATTCCTCTTTCCATCCATTCATTTTGTTCTTCCTCTATACATCCCTTCCTCCTTCCATCTCTCTCTCTCCATCTGCCCACGCCCCACCCTCCCCTTAAGCCTCAGTCCAAATCTACAGCCCTCTACCTCAGTGCTCCTCTCATCCATATCTCCCTCATCTCCAGCCCTCTACCTCAGTGCTCCTCTCATCCATATCTCCCTCATCTCCAGCCCTCTACCTCAGTGCTCCTTTCATCCATCTCTCCCTCCACTCCCACCTTATTCGTTGCCAGGGTGACACAGATAGCTGTGATTTGTGACACAGAGATGATGGTCATTAGTGAAAAGATGGACGTCATATTGACGTTGGATGAGTTGGCAAGCAGCCGGTGTGTGTGTGTTGTGAGAGAGACACGATAGAGCAGAGAACAGATCATCTCACTAACAACTTCTCAAATGCTTCTTTGAGTTCTCAGGTTTACTACAGGGCACACAGAAAAACAGCATCAACTGTGACTGGTGCATGATCTTACCATCTGTGTGAGTGCTATGTATAGTCTAGTCCTCTGTGTGTGCTTGCTTCTCTGTGTGACCAGTCCTAATTGCAGGACTAAAGACAGGAGAATTGACCACAGCTAAAATTACATCAACTCATTTTTCACAATAGTCCTATGTGGCAGAATGCCTGGTTTCTCCCTGAACTGAGAGGAGTGTGTGTTGTGTGTATGCCAGGCAAACACAGGTCTGCCATACCGCTGGTATGTGCGTGTGCGTGTGTGGGTGAGTGCGAGTGGGCGAATGTGAGTGTGTGTGCAGTTCTTCTCAAGGCTGTACCTGACTGTTAGACAAAACACTAACGGCTAAAAATGTAAAATACCGCTTCGTTCTCTCCTTTCAGACAGGAATCATTCAAGGCCATGAGACTAGTAGAGTACTTTCTGCATGTGTGTGTGTGTCCAGTGTGTGTGTGCAGTGATTTCCCGTCAATGCTGCTTTATCTGGGCCATGAGACTGAGACAGGCAGACTGCACAAACACAATTACAAACAACAGACAGACTACCATGACGTGGCATGGCATCTAGCAACACATTCACGTGTGGTAGCGATAACCATGGCAACAAATATGAAACATGGCTGTGGCATTTCTAAAGGATATCATATTTCTAGAGAGAAGGAGAGAGAATAGATAGATATAGCTACGATGAGATACCGAGAGCGAGTAGATAGAGAGAGATATGAGGAGAAGGCTGTGACGTTCAGGGAAAGGTATGATGGTTAGGCTCTAGAGAGAAAGAGAAGAGAGGAGAGAGGAGAGAGAGAGAGAGGAGAGAGAGAGAGGAGAGAGAGAGAGCGAGAGAGAGAGAGAACAGAAGGGCATCTCAGGTCACACTAACTCACTGAGTAAAATGTTAACCTCTAACCACAATGAGAGAGAGAAATACATTAATAAAGAAAAAAGTTATTAATAAAGTAAAAAAATTAGAGAAAAGGAGAGGGAAAGAGTTTCCTGTAGAGTGAGAGGTAGAGGAGAGAGAGAAAAATTAGAGAGAAGAGGAAAATAAAACGGAGTGCTTGTTTGCTGATGGCTTTATCAAGGCTTGGTTCAGCGCCTAGACCTGGTTGCTTCTGCCTGCCACCCGGGGGATGGAGTGTAGGAGTGTAGCATAGTGTATAATTATGCTCCTAACACCAACATACCTACCCTATATAGGGAGGTAGCTCAGTTGGTAGAGCATGGCGTTTGCAACGCCAGGGTTGTGGGTTCGATTCCCACGGGGGGCCAGTATGAAAATAAAAAAGAATAATGTATGCACTAACTGTAAGTCGCTCTGGATAAGAGCGTCTGCTAAATGACGTAAATGTAAATGTATTCCATAACACTCTCCTTAACCCTAACCACACTGTGTAGAATGTGACGCAATGGATGTCTTCTCCCACAGTCTGGTTTACTGTTGAAACCAAACAAGGGGAAAAAATAGCCAAAACACTTGCCTTCAGTTTCCCCAGGTGCCTGTGTGTGTGTGTATGTATGTATGCATGTATGTACAGTGGGGAAAATAAGTATTTAGTCAGCCACCAGTTGTGCAAGTTCTCCCACTTAAAAAGATGAGAGAGGCCTGTAATTTTCATCATAACACCATACCTACCGTGAAGCATGGGGGTGGAAACATCATGCTTTGGGGCTGTTTTTCTGCAAAGGGACCAGGACGACTGATCCGTGTAAAGGAAAGAATGAATGGGGCCATGTATCGTGAGATTTTGAGTGAAAACCTCCTTCCATCAGCAAGGGCATTGAAGATTAAACGTGGCTGGGTTTTTCAGCATGACAATGATCCCAAACACACCGCCTGGGCAACGAAGGAGTGGCTTCGTAAGAAGCATTTCAAGGTCCTGGAGTGGCCTAGCCAGTCTCCAGATCTCAACCCCATAGAAAATCTTTGGAGGGAGTTGAAAGTCCGTGTTGCCCAGCGACAGCCCCAAAACATCACTGCTCTAGAGGAGATCTGCATGGAGGAATGGGCCAAAATACCAGCAACAGTGTGTGAAAACCTTGTGAAGACTTACAGAAAACGTTTGACCTGTGTCATTGCCAACAAAGGGTATATAACAAAGTATTGAGAAACTTTTGTTATTGACCAAATACTTATTTTCCACCATAATTTGCAAATAAATTCATTAAAAATCCTACAATGTGATTTTCTGGAGAAAAAAAATCTCATTTTGTCTGTCATAGTTGACATGTACCTATGATGAAAATTACAGGCCTCTCTCATCTTTTTAAGTGGGAGAACTTGCACAATTGGTGGCTGACTAAATACTTTTTTCCCCCACTGTATGTATGTGTATCTATGTATGTGTGTATGTGTATATATGTATGTATGTATGTATGTATGTATGTATGTATGTATGTATGTATGTATGTATGTATGTATGTATGTATGTATGTATGTATGTATGTATGTATGTATGTATGTATGTATGTATGTATGTATGTATGTATGTATGTATGTATGTATGTATGTATGCATGCATGCATGCATGCATGCATGCATGCATGCATGCATGCATGCGCGCGTGTGTGTGTGTGTGTGTGTGTACCTGCAGCCCAGTGTAGTCTGTAGCAGGGTGGTAATTCCCACACAGAAGAAGATCGTTCCTATGAGCTGACTGGTGGCCCACTGGTCAAATCCTACACACATGGCTTCAGCTAGCAGGAACGGCACTGCGATGGTACCACTGAAACACGTCAGATAGTGCTGGAGAGAGAGGTGAGAGAAGAGAGAGGGTTAGAATGAGAAAGTGTGTGTGTGTGTGTGTGTCACTGTGTGTGTGATGGCCTTTTACAGTGTGCATGTGTTAATGTAAATAGACAGGACTATTGTGTAAATATTTATTGAGGTTATAAATATTGATTGAGGTAATTGTGTCCATGTGTGTATGTGTGCGTGTGTGTGTTTGCATGCGACAGTGAAGCAGAGCATCAACTTCCATAACAGTATGTTTCATAAGCATGAGTATAAAGGGGAGGGGCTTAGTTACATCAGGAGTGGGTAGACTATGTTACATCATACGGGTTATAGAACAGGAAGAGACAAAAATAAGCGGTGAGATGGCATTTTTTTGGCCTGGGCTTTGCTACATTTTTACAGTCTGAACTTACAGTGCCTTGCAAAAGTATTCATCCCCCTTGGCGTTTTTCCTATTTTGTTGCATTACAACCTGTAATTTAAATTAATTTTGATTTTGATTTCATGTAATGGACATACACAAAATAGTCCAAATTGGTGAAAAAAAATAAAAAATAACTTGTTTAAAAAAACTCTTAAAAAATAAATAACGGAAAAGTGGTGCGTGCATATATGTATTCACCCCCTTTGCTATGAAGCCCCTAAATAAGATATGGTGCAACCAATTACCTTCAGAAGTCACATAATTAGTTAAATAAAGTCCACCTGTGTGCAATCTAAGTGTCACATGATCTGTCACATGATCTCAGTATATATACACCTGTTCTGAAAGGTCCCAGAGTCTGCAACACCACTAAGCAAGGGGCACCACCAAGCAAGCAGCACCATGAAGACCAAGGAGCTCTCCAAACAGGTCAGGGACAAAGTTGTGGAGAAGTACAGATCAGGGTTGGGTTATAAAAAAAATCAGAAACTTTGAACATCCCACAGAGCACCATTAAATCCATTATTTAAAAAATGTAAAGAATATGGCACCACAACAAACCTGCCAAGAGAGAGCCGCCCACCAAAACTCACGGACCAGGCAAGGAGGGCATTAATCAGAGAGGCAACAAAGAGACCAAAGATAACCCTGAAGGAGCTGCAAAGCTCCACAGCGGAGATTGGAGTATGTGTCCATAGTACCACTTTAAGCCGTACACTCCACAGAGCTGGGCTTTATGGAAGAGTGGCCAGAAAAAAGCCATTGCTTAAAGAAAAAAAAAAGCAAACACGTTTGGTGTTCGCCAAAAGCCATGTGGGAGACTCCCCAAACATATGGAACAAGGTACTCTGGTCAGATGAGACAAAAATTTAGCTTTTTGGCCATCAAGGAAAACGCTATGTCTGGCGCAAACCCAACACCTCTCATCACCCCGAGAACACCATCCCCACAGTAAAGCATGGTGGTGGCAGCACAGTATCATGCTGTGGGGATGTTTTTCATAGGCAGGGACTGGGAAACTGGTCAGAATTGAAGGAATGATGGATGGCGTTAAATACAGGGAAATTCTTGAGGGAAACCTGTTTCAGTCTTCCAGAGATTAGAGACTGGGATGGAGGTTCAGCTTCCAGTAGGACAATGGGCCTCATTCACCAATATCTACCTAAGAATTTTCTAAACTTTGTTCTTAATAAACTCCCTAAGAAAAGTTTACGTCGGATTCATGACATGTTCTTAAACAACAGAATTGTTCGCACCTGTGTTCTTAGGATTGATGAATCCCACGTATTCGTAATTGAAAGTGTGTGCCAGTTGTTCCTAATTAGCATAAGAAAACGCCCTGCAAATTCCCATATAAGGACATGACACTTCAGGGCCGTGTGCAAGAAAAGTTGGAGAATGTCCAAAAAACACACTAACGGTGGTGGTCCACCGATCACCAAACGAAAAAGGAACTTCAGTAATTCTGAAATAGAAATTCTACTGCAACAGGTAAATGCCAAACGAGGCATAATATTTAGTAGTGTTTCCAGTGGTTTTAAAGCCACCAACAAAACTGAGGAATGGAAGGAGATCACGGATTCCGTGAACTCTGTTTCTGGACAATGTCGCTCAATTGAAGATGTAAAAAAGAAATGGTTTGACTTAAAATCAGAGACCAAAAAATCCATTGCCAAACATATGCTGACCACTGGAGGGGGGCATGCAGGCCCTGAGTTATCTGAGATTGACCAGCGCATCAGGGCCATTATTGGTGAGACGGCACTCTCAGGTGTGCCATCAGCGGAGCAACTGGACACTGACCAGGGCCCTATATCAACAGCTTCATATCCTCCAAGGCCATCTCCCACCAGTGAATCAGACGGTAAGCAAGTCTTTCTGAATTTATACAATTTCATGCCATCATTTAACTGAAAGCAACAGTGAAACCATTGGAAAGGAATTTTACACCAGTTTGTCAAACCAAATGTGGGCCTATGTGACTGTGAATGAGTCCTCACCTGAATTCCTAGTTTATTCAGTTTGAAATCCTATTGCTTTTGCAGTAGGCCTATATTGAACAAACTGAAACATAAAAATAAAAAATAAAAAATCAGTGCGCTGTGACTGTTTTACTTTCAGTATCGCTTTTGTTATTTACAGATCTCCAATCCAGGCAACCCCTAAGTGAAGAGGAACCTGACACCATTCGGCCTTCCTGCAGTAGGCCTGCCTCTGTACGTGCCCCCAGGTCCCGTCCAACTGCACGTGTCATCTCCGATGCGGTCTTGGATAACCAGGAGCGGATTGCGCAAAGTTTCTGTGAAATCGCTACTACTCTGGCCACAATATCAGAAACACTCAAAGACAAACACACATTAAAAAATATAAAGAACGCGCACTGAAACCTGTGTCATTTCATGTGTTTAATTTGTGGTATTTAAAGGACAAAACAAATCAAAATCGAGAAATGATTTGTTGTCTGACTTCCACGCCAAGTCGGTTGTCTGGTCCCAGCAATGGGTCAGGACGCACATCCTGGTGTGGTGGCTGAAGTGGAAGTGGAACACCACGCTTCATAGCGATGTTGTGTAACACAACAGGCCATGATTATTCTGCAAACCTAAAAACGGTGTAAAGATGATCAAAAGCTAGAAAAACTAAATAAAATGAATTGTTGGAATTAGATTATTCTACAACATGTTCTCCATTTTTCAAACCTGAATAAAACAAGTAGTCCTACTCACCTTCTCTGGCTTGTAAAGCAGCTTACCACCTGCTGTGTCCAAACACATCCAGCGTCACTTCAGAATACCAGTGGTTCGCTCAATGGTGGAGCGGGTGTGTGCCTGCCTCTGGTTATAAGAGGCCTCTTGGTGCGTCTGAGGGTTTGTTAGTGGCGTCATTAGCCAGGGCGCAAGGGCATACCCCCGATCTCCTAATGAAACAAGTCATTAATGAAGAAACCCACTTTTTGAAACCAACAATTGGAATTTGAAATGACTGAACGATGCTTGCCAATGAGCCATGCGTCTCCAGCAGCTCCTTGTTCCAGGCGCATTCACACAGAACTGTTCTGCAAAATATAAGCGTCATGTGCACCTCCTGGGAAGCGGGAGACCACGTTCAAGAGATGGTTGTCGGAGTCGCAGATGACTTGTACATTGATTGAGTGATATTGCTTGCGGTTGAGGTATGGGAATGGGTCTGGTGAGGATGCCTTAATGCGCACGTGAGTGCAGTCTATTGCCCCGATTACGTTGTGCAGACCCGCAATAGAGTAGAACCCTCTCTTGACCGGCAGCTGTTGTTGGGCTGTGTAGGGGAAGAAAATATATTGTGTGGCCAGTTGATTTATTCCATCCACAACTCGTGGGAGAGCGCGGCTGATGGATGCCACCCGGTCTGCTAACTCCCGCTGAAATGTCCCAGTGGCTAAAAATCCCAAGGTGGAGAGTACCTGCACATGAGGTGGTACGGGATTGGACCGTTGGGTATGGCTTCGCAGCGCTTGCTCCAAAGTATCACACAGCTCCATTAAAACGGGTCTTGGAAGCCTAAACCGTCCGATCAAGTACTCGTCAGTCTCTGCAAATAAATCAACGTGATCCTCAAAGATGCGTTCCCTTCTCAGAGCACGCTCGGCAATGTCGTCAAGCAGCAATAGATGTGCCATTTTGATAGCATGCCTGATGTGCAGAAACAGGCCCAGTTTGGTCCTATAAATAGCGTGATCAATCACCACATAATGCAGGATTTAATCAGCTTAATTGCTGATGTAAATTGCAGTGTTAGTGTTTCTTTACATACTATGCTTTTTTTTCGACAGATGATCAGAAATACATTACAGTAAAATACTATCATTGTAAATGACTGTAGAATTAAATGAAATGCAGTAACCAATTATTTGGAGCAAACTGTCATCACACAAATGTGCGTAAGAATGCTCTTGAGTGTGCGTGGATTTTGTTCTTAGCTAAGAACAAATCCAAAATGAGAAAACATTAGTGAATGTCAGAATCTTCGTAAAAAGTGCGTAAGTGGGGTTTAAGAACACATTACCTTGTAAGAACGGTTGGTGAATGAGGCCCAATGACCCTAAGCATACTGCTAAAGCAACACTTGAGTGGTTTAAGGGGAAACATTTAAATGTCTTGGAATGGCCTAGTCAAAGCCCAGACCTCAATCCAATTGAGAATCTGTGGTATGACTTAAAGATTGCTGTACACCAGCGGAAGCCATCCAACTTGAAGGAGCTGGAGCAGTTTTGCCTTGAAGAATGGGCAAAAATCCCAGTGGCTAGATGTGCCAAGCTTATAGAGACATACCCCAAGAGACTTGCAGCTGCAAAAGGTGGCTCTACAAAGTACTGACTTTGGGGGGGGGTGAATAGTTATGCACGCTCAAGTTCTGTTTTTTTTGTCTTATTTCTTGTTTGTTTCACAATAAAACATATTTTGCATCTTCAAAGTGGTAGGCATATTGTGTAAATCAAATTATACAAACCCCCCAAAAATCCATTTTAATTCCAGGTTGTAAGGCAACAAAATAGGAAAAATGCCAAGGGGGGTGAATACTTTCACAAGCCACTGTAAGTGGCTTCCTCTCCTTGTTCATCAGCACTGATAAATTATTTCATATCAGTGCAGATGAAGGAGAGGAGACAAGGAGGAAGCCACATTATTCAGATAACATTTATACATATTTCAGTCAGTCAAACACATAACACATGCTTATCTGGTACTTGCAAAACAACAGAGGTACCAGAGCTGTGTGTGTGTGTGTGTGTGTGTGTGTGTGTGTGTGTGTGTGTGTGTGTCTCACCTGTAAGCCCAGGAATATACACAGGTACCAGGGAGGTGTGTCTTCGATGGTGTAGATCATGTCCATTCTCCTGGCGTCCATACTGTCTGCACTGTCCAACGTCTCCGACATGGAACTCTACACACAGAGTTCTATAGATGTAGGCCTACTGTACACCCGCACACCACAGGGTATACAATCTCTGGACCAAAGGGTTTTAAGACCTAAGTCTAAGTATTAGACATTAGCTGTGTTCGAATACTCATACTAACCGCACTAACCATACTATTTGTGAAGTAAATTGAAGTAAATTACATCACTATGTACCGGTATGTTAGCTAGCTACCTACTGTTAGTTGGCTACTAGTACATTGAACTTGTCAGTATATTAACTATATGCTAACTACCCAACTGTGTGTTCGTAAATTGCATTTCACTCTTGTAGCGTTCAGAGCGCAGACTGGACGCTCTGGCCGAGGAGTAGGGTTGAGCGTTCTGACCTCACAACGGCAGTCAAGCACCCAAGCTAACTGGTTAACGTTGGCTATCTACTTCCAGACACAAATGAGAGAACACCTCACTGACCATTTTACTCGCCCTAGCAGAGCTGGTTAGGCTGTTTTCATGTTATCTAGAGCATTGGTGACTGCAACTGTGCTGCTGGCAACAATTTAATAACTTTTTTTTGCCGATGTTTACTGACACCGGCCATATTCAACGGGTGTTGAGCGTTCATAAATGTGTCAGTTATTCTGCGCTCTGGCACACAGTAGAGAGTGCTCTGAAATCAGAGTAGATCGCCAGAATGAATTTACGAATGCAACCTATTGACTTGATTATTCACGTCATTCTTAGCTTAGCTAAGTGGTATAGTCGTTGTGCGTTCTTAATGGACATTGTTAATGAAGTCGTAAGATGTTTAACTAGTAATTTGTTATACTAACAAGAAGTTGCATAGCAACAGCATCAACTTCCGGTAGACAGGCGAAGCGCTAGTACACTCAACTGAAAGGACACCGTTCGTTTACAGTATACTAAAATGAACTAATAGTATATACTCATTAAGTATGTAGTATACAGTATGTTAGTATGGGTATTCGAACACAGCTTAAGTGTATTTAAGCCTACAGGTAGTAATCTATGTGAGTGTGTGTGTGCCTTAGAGAGGTCAAAACCTGAAGCCAACCACACCCATAGGGCTCTGGTCAAAAGTAGTGCACTATATACGGCAGGGGTCTCCAACCATTTCTAGCATGAGAGCTACCTTTAAAAAATGTAACATGTCGGGAGGAATTTTTTTTTTTATAGCTTTCAAATTAGGTACATTCTTCTCTTCTCCTGTCCCCTGCAACTCTTACCCGGGTCCTTAGTGTACATGAGAAAGTTCTGTAAATATACCTGGTAAAATAATGGTTAATAAACAACTAAGGGGGGCCCTATAAAATCTGTGATTCCCCCCCCCCCCCCCCCCAAATTCTGTTTTGTATTTTCCCAAATTATGTTCTGAGTTTTATTTTTCACTCTTAAAATTACAATTATCAATAGAGAAACAACGAAATTGGATGTTCTGAGTCCATGTTAATGCTTAAATCACATCAGAAGACAAAACATTATTGGTCTGGTTGAAAACGAAGAAATATTTTTTGGGGAATGTAATTCCCCTTTAATTGCGCATCTGGCCCTTTAATTGAGCATCTAGAGAGTGAGGAATGTGTCATCTAATGTGCCGGTCTAGCGATGGATCTGTACTGCTGCTGCTCATTTCATGGCAAGGTTAGCAAACAACAAATAATAGATACAAATGATATACAGAACCAGTCAAAAGTTTGGACACACCTACTCATTCAAGGGTTTTTCTTTATTTTTTAAAACTATTTTCTACATTGTAGAATAATAGTGAAGACATCAAAACTATCAAATAACACATATGGAATCATGTAGTAACCCAAAAAGTGTTAAACAAATCAAAATATATTTTATATTTGAGATTCTTCAAATAGCCACCCTCTGCCTTGATGACAGCTTTGCACACTCTTGGCATTCTCTCAACCAGCTTCATGAGATAGTTACCTGGAATGCATTTAAATTAACAGGTGTGCCTCCTTAAAAGTTATTTTGTGGAATGTATTTCCTTCTTAACGCGTTTGAGCTAATCAGTTGTGTTGTGACATGGTAGGGGGTATACAGAAGATAGCCCTATTTGGTAAAAGACCAAGTCCATATTATGGTAAGAACAGCTCAAATAAGCAAAGAGAAACGACAGTTCATCATTACTTTAAGACATGAAGGTCAGTCAATACGGAACATTTCAAGAACTTTGAAAGTTTCTTCAAGTGCAGTCGCAAAAACCATCAAGCGCTATGATGAAACTGACTCTCATGAGGACCGCCACAGGAATGGAAGACCCAGAGTTACCTCTGCTGCAGAGGATAAGTTCATTAGAGTTACCAGCCTCAGAAATTGCAGCCCAAACAAATGCTTCAGGGAGTTCAAGTAACAGACACATCTCAACATCAACTGTTCAGAAGAGACTGTGTGAATCAGGCCTCCATGGTCAAATTGCTGCAAAGAAACCACTACTAAAGGACACCAATAAGAAGAAGAGACTTGCTTGGGCCAAGAAACACGAGCAATGGACATTAGACCAGTGGAAATGTGTCCTTTGGTCTGGAGTCCAAATTTGAGATTTTTGGTTCCAACCGCCGTATCTTTGTGAGACGCGGTATGGGTGAGCAGATGATCTCCGCATGTGTAGTTCCCACCGTAAAGCATGAAGGAGGAGGTGTTCTGGTGTGGGGGTGCTATGCTGCTGACACTGTCAGTGATTTATTTAGAATTCAAGGCACACTTAACCAGCATGGCTACCACAGCATTCTGCAGCGATACGCCATCCCATCTGGTTTCGGCTTAGTGGGACTATCATTTGTTTTTCAACAGGACAATGACCCAACACACCTCCAGGCTGTATAAGGGCTATTTTACCAAGAAGGAGAGTGGAGTGCTGCATCAGATGACCTGGCCTCAACACAATTGAGATGGTTTGGGATGATTCAGACCGCAGAGTGAAGGAAAAGAAGCCAACAAGTGCTCAGCATATGTGGGAAGACTGTTGGAAAGGCATTCCAGGTGAAACTGGTTGAGAGAATCCCAAGAGTGTGCAACGCTGTCATCAAGGCAAAGGGTGGCTATTTGAAGAATCTCAAATATAACATATATTTTGATTTGTTTAACACTTTTTTGGTTACTACATTATTCCATATGTGTTATTTCATAGTTTTGATGTCTTCACTATTATTCTACATGTAAAAAATTGTAAAAATAAAGAAAAACCCTTGAATGAGTAAGTGTGTCCAAACTTTTGACTGGTAGTGTACTTCTGCCAGGTAAGCCTACTTTGCAGTTAACATTTAATTGAAAAGGTTTTGGGGGAAATATTTCTGTCAACCCACAAGATGGTTATCACATCAACTGGCTACACACGGAGTGATAAACAAATGAGCGCATGCCCCAAAGACAGACAGGGCCAATATTGCTGGAAGTTAATTGGCAGATATTGTGTTAGGTTTGGCTTTTTAAGCCAATAGTGGCTAACCAGGGGTGGGATAATGAAAATGTTGCGTTGAATAGATAGTAGCTAGGAGCTTCCTGGTGTCTGATACTTGTGAGATTTGTTTATGACTGTTTGCGGTGGAACACGTGTAAACTGCATGTACTTTCAGAATTGTTTGGCGAGCTACTCAGAGGTGGGATGCGAGCTACTGGTAGCTCACGATCGAACTGTTGGAGACCCCTGATATAGGAAATAGGGTGCAACAGACAGACTAGAGAGAACAGTCACAGTCACAGGCTGATGATGTCACAGCAGCATAACCAGACAAAGACAGAGGGGGAGGAGATGAGTAGAATATTCATAATTGAAGAGGGAAAGGCTGAATGATTCAGCAAGAGAGTTTAGTCATAAAGAAACAAAAAGGGAGAGATTCAGAAAGGGAGAGAGAGAAAAAAGGGAGAGATTCAAGCAGACACCGACAAGAAATTCCTCTTGCCTCTGTGACTGTCTCTTTCTCTCCCTTTCTCTTGTTCTCACACAACGGGAAAAGTGCAGAGTCACAGTGACAGAGAGAAGAGGGGACGATCAAAAGAGCAGAGATAAACAAAGGATGTAGTGGAGGGATAGGGGGAGGGACAGGGTGTGGGATAGGTGGAGAGACAGGGGGTGGGACAGTGGGAGGGACAGGGGGAGTGAGGTGGTGTGAGAGGAGAAGGGAGAGTTAGGAGTTTAAACTATGCGTGTGTGTGTGTCTGTGTGTCTCGTACCTTCTCTCCTTCCTGGTTCTCTTTAGTGTAGATGGCCATCAGCTCAGTGTTTTCAGTGTCCTGCTCTCCAGCGGCCTGTTCCACTCCGTTCACCACCACCTACAGTACAGTACATGCATGTCAATACCTTATCCACCTACACTAGATACACAGACAGATGCATGTCAATACCTTATCCACCTACACTAGATACACAGACAGATGCATGTCAATACCTTATCCACCTACACTAGATACACAGACAGATGCATGTCAATACCTTATCCACCTACACTAGATACACAGACAGATGCATGTCAATACCTTATCCACCTACACTAGATACACAGACAGATGCATGTCAATACCTTATCCACCTACACTAGATACACAGACAGATGCATGTCAATACCTTATCCACCTACACTAGATACACAGACAGATGCATGTCAATACTTCATCCACCTACACAGACAGATGCATGTCAATACTAAATATATAAAAATATATAAAAAATGTATGCACTCATTAACTGTAAGTCGCTCTGGATAAGAATGTCTGCTAAATGACTAAAAAATGTAAATGTAAAATACTTTAACCACCTCCTCTACAGTACATACACAGACAGACATAGACAGACACATGTCAATCCTTGATCTGGGTTAACTAACTATGAAACAATTGGAGTACCAAGGACCCATATGCCATTATCACTGTATTATTGTAACAGCATTTATTTCAGAAATGTAACTTTATAAAGTCAATGTAGGGGTAGAGGTAGAGAAATTCCAAACTTCCAAAGTGTTAGGCTGATGCGCTGTGCCTTTGCAGTGATAGAGTGTTTTGACAACAGTGACACTTTTTTGCACCGCAAAAACGTCACCCTAGTATTTTACAAACATTTCACACACTGCATTATACAAAGTAGCACAACTAACATACACTGACAAGTGTGTATCTGTAACAGGGAGTATATTTCAAGGAAAGCACAGCAAAGCAAGGACATTGATGCTGATTGGGTAAGGTTAACACAACTAACAGACATAATAAGGACAGCCTGGGTGTTGCTTTGCACTTTGCCTGGGAAATGATCTCTGGGAACACTGGGCCATAAGTACATCAGTTCCTTCATTAGTTGAATACCCGAGCCGACGAGGTGGAGAAAAAGGTGTCGCAGGGTACTTAACCCTCCAGGGCTGCCATACTACTATGGCTGACCCTGTAAAAAACACATTTCACTGCACCTATCCTGTGTATGTGACTTTATTTATTTATTTTTATATTGGTCTAATTATCACACTGATGCACACATACACTGTAGGGATCCAAGGTCATGACATCACTGTGCGTGTGTGTTGTGTCCTGTTTGTGGGTGTGTGTTCTCCGTCTGTGGCTTGGTTAGCAAATCACAGATGAAGATCACTGTATAGAAGGACAGTGTTCAGTCTCACACACACACAGTGGCATGTGTCTAAATTTGATTTGAGGATGCGTCTTTGCATACTTTCATCCATCTTTGCATCTCGTCTGCCAGGCATGGAAAACAACAAATTACTCTTGTTCAGACTCAAATGTTATCGTCATTCAAGTGTGTGTGTGTGTGTGTTTGTGAGAGTGTGTGAGAGAGAGAGAGAGAGAGAGAGAGAGAGAGAGAGAGAGCGAGAGAGAGAGAGAGAGAGAGAGAGAGAGAGAGAGAGAGAGAACCGTTCCTGGGGACACATCATATTCTATCCTACTGCTCATCTTTCACTAGTTGGGAAAGATCACTGCTGACAGAGCAGTCATCAGATGAGAGACCTTAGAATGAACTGAAGATCAGTCTTTCTTTGTCTAATATAAAATGTGTTTTATTGTCACATATACCGGATAGGTGCAGTGAAATGTGTTGTTCTATCTACAGATTTTTCACCTTGTAGGCTCTGGTATTCGAACAAGCAACCTTTCAGTTACTGGCCCAACGCTCTAACCGCTAGGCTACCTGCTGCCCAGAAATCACAGAACTAGACATGACAAAATTAGCACCCTTGGGGTAGTCATGCAGAACGAACGAAAGAAAGAAAGAAAGAACGAAAGAACGAACAAGACAGAAGGGAGGGAGACTATGGCTGTACAGGTCATTGAGGATAGCCATTGTGTCCCTTTATCCACCTCTGTCCTATTCAGCCATTCAGTAACAGCAGACAGGAGGATGTGAATGGGATACTTATAATAAACAGGATATATAGTCGTAAATCTCTGATGGACTCAAAACCTGGACAGGCTTTGTGTTTGGGCTCCTCAGGACAGTATCATGTCTGCGTGTGTTTGTGTGTCTAGGGAAACCATTTTGTTGATTTGTGGTGTGACCTACATGAGGGGACTGTGTTCCAGCCAAGAGCAAATGGCCAGAACAAAACTGGCATGACATGGAGACTGGCAGTGCATGTGTGGATGTTCGTCAGCGCGTGACCCTGACGAGTGTTAAGTGATCCTAATGACAGGTCTCTATGTATGGTGGCCTAACCCCGTCTATACCATCACTCCTCTGTCAGTGTGTGTCAACTTGATGACCTTTAAAGGGCCAATCTGTGGATGAAACAATAACATAGTGGGCACCCCACCTCTGTTTTGGTAAAAAGCTGAGGGATGGGCCTGGATAAAAGTAACCACTCTCAAATTCATAGACAGAGCTATGGATGCCAGGACTGACTATCCATGATATTAAAATGATAGTTTTAAGCATGTTTTAAGGCCATGTCTACAAACATTGGAGTAAAATAAGCTTATATTTTTGGGTTCTGATGAGGTATGACAGTTGAACTAGGCTTATGAGGTATTTATAAGTTATATTCTTCAAGAATCAATGGGTATATATATCATTCATTTATAAGTCAAAAAATTGATGTAGTAACAGCAGATTGACACTTTAACTGACTAAATCCCCAGTGCAAGCAGACACACACACACAGATGCATGCATACAGACAGAACACACACACAGCGTACCGGAATGGGGTAGAAGTCTGCGCTGTGTTTGTTCTCCTCCTCATACTTCCCCCCTTCTCCTCCCTCCATCGACTTAGCGGTGGTATTCTTCCCCACGCCCATTCCTGTATCCTCCTCCTCTTCCTCTTCCCTCGCTCTCCCAGTCTCTCCGCTCTCTCCCTCCGGTAGAAACACTGCAGATTGCTCCTTCAACTCCCTTACATGGTCCAGGACTGTGTCATCTACTGAGAGAGAGAGATAAAAGATGGATCATTTACTACACAACTTTCCTGAGTCTGCCCCTGAGGTCATCTAGACTAGAGTATTATAGTAGGTACTGTATTAGGTAGAATATGCTAGAAACTGGGCCTTTTGCCCACTGGGCCAAAAGCTCCACGGGTGTGTGTGGATGGGGATCAGGGTTGGGCCTAAACCTACGTTTACAGGGTTGGGCCGAAAGCTACGTTTACAGGGTTGGGCCTAAAACTGAGTTTACAGAGTTGGGCTTAAACCTAAGTGTACAGAGTTGGGCTTAAAGCTGAGTTTACAGTTGGGCTTAAAGCTGAGTTTACAGATAGACACCTGTCTGGTCCCGGTTCCAGAGCCCCAGACCTGAGGCATCAGTATCTGCACAGTCACCGTCTCTTCACCCCAGACTGGATCATGAGCAGAGGTCAGATGTGATCCAGGACTGTGGAGAGACCTGATACTGGGATGGGCCTGGGAGACCCAGAATGAGTCCCAAATGGCATCCTATTCCATATACACTGCACTACTTTTGACCAGAGCTCTATGGGCTCCGGTCAAAAGTAGCGCACTATAAAGAGAATAGGGTGCAATTTGGGACGCAGACCCAGATGTATACACTCATTCAGTATACTGTGAGGGATCGATTAGAAACAGGGTAGGGGATGAAGGAGGAGCGCGCGAGAGGGATAAAGACAGGGTATTGGGGAGGGGCAGATAGGGTGGAAAGGAGAACAGGTACAAGAGGAGAGCAGAGAGTCAGAGGCAAGGATAGAGGGGGAGGAGAGTGAGGGATAGACTGAGGAGGAGGGTAAGAGGGCGAGAAAGGGATAAAAGCGGAGAGAGGAAGGAGGAGGTGGTGTGAGAGGGAGGTCAGTTTGTTAATAATAATAATAATAATACGTTTGTTGGTCTCAGGCGGTGTTGTGTTATTTCTGGTTTCATGTCAACTCCATTTTACGTAAAACAAGTCCTTGGGCTCAGTCTAGCCCTGTGACTATCCATGTCCCGGTCTCACCCCTCCCCTCCCCCTACTCTATACTCTAACACAATACCTTTGGCTGTGTCTATCCCTGCATGTTTATCTGTAGATTATCTTCCACTGTCTCACCCCCGTCATCTTTCTAAACTCGTACAAGGCCTTCTGTCAGACTTAACCTTCCTCTCAACACCCTCCCCCCTGCTTTAAAAACGACAGCTTAAGCCTACTCTCTAGAGAACATTTTAGTCCAGGAGCAAAGTCCATCCAGTCTCCTTTTCAGTTTATCACTTGAATTACTTAACAAAAGGCACATCTCAATAGGTGGCCCAGGTGTCCTCTGACATTGCACAAATGGGGGGGGGGGGGAGGGAGGGGGGATGGGCCTTTCCTCTTTTGTTCTCAATTGTTCCTCAACCAAGGCGGGAGGCCGATGACATCAGAGGGCACCATCAGACACCAACTCTTTGAATGGCCTACTCCATGAAGTTTGTACTTATGTCTAAAAAAACACTATTTTGCTCAAAACACATGTTTTACCCTTAAGTGTGTGTACATTACTGTATTTATACTGGGGATATTGTTTTTCAACAGGAAAAGCTTTTTTTTTTTATAGCTGGAGTGAGTCTTCAATCTAGTTCTGAGAAACCAGCGCTGCGCTTGCTCCTTTCCCCAACCTTAATATACCCCACATGCCCCAACTCCCCCCTTCCCCACCCTTATTATACCCCACATGCCCCAACCTCCCACCCTTACTATACCACACATGCCCCAACCTCCCACCCTTATTATACCCCACATGCCCCAACCTCCCACCCTTATTATACCCCACATGCCCCAACTCCCCCCTTCCCCACCCTTATTATACCCCACATGCCCCAACCTCCCACCCTTATTATACCCCACATGCCCCAACCCTTATTATACCCCACATGGCCCAACCTCCCACCCTTATTATACCCCACATGCACCAACCTCCCACCCTTATTATGCCCCAACTTCCCCACCCTTATTATACCCCACATGCCCCAACCTCCCACCCTTATTATACCCCACATGCACCAACCTCCCACCCTTATTATGCCCCAACTTCCCCACCCTTATTATACCCCACATGCCCCAACCCTTATTATACCCCACATGCCCCAACCTCCCACCCTTATTATACCCCACATGCCCCAACCTCCCACCCTTACTATACCCCACATGCCCCAACTCCCCCACCCTTATTATACCCCACATGCACCAACCTCCCACCCTTACTATACCCCACATGCCCCAACCTCCCACCCTTACTATACCCCACATGCCCCAACCTCCCACCCTTACTATACCCCACATGCCCCAACCTCCCACCCTTATTATACCCCACATGCCCCAACCTCCCACCCTTACTATACCCCACATGCACCAACCTCCCACCCTTACTATACCCCACATGCCCCAACCTCCCACCCTTATTATACCCCACATGCACCAACCTCCCACCCTTACTATACCCCAACCTCCCACCCTTACTATACCCCACATGCCCCAATCTCCCACCCTTACTATACCCCACATGCACCAACCTCCCACCCTTACTATACCCCACATGCCCCAACCTCCCACCCTATTATACCCCACCCATGCCCCAACTCCCACCCTTATTATACCCACATGCCCAACCTCCCACCCTTATATACCCCACATGCCACCAACCTCCCACCCTTATTATACCCACACCCCAACCCTATCTATACCCCACATGCCCCAACCTCCCACCCTTATTATACCCCACATGCCCCAACCCTTATTATACCCCACATGCCCCAACCTCCCACCCTTATTATACCCCACATGCCCCAACCCTTATTATACCCCACATGCCCCAACTCCCCCACCCTTATTATACCCCACATGCCCCAACCTCCCACCCTTATTATACCCCACATGCCCCAACTCCCCCACCCTTATTATACCCCACATGCCCCAACCTCCCACCCTTATTATACCCCACATGCCCCAACCTCCCACCCTTATTATACCCCACATGCCCCAACTCCCTTCTCCCATCCTCCCCTCCTTCTCATCCATCTTCATGTGGAGTGTTGGACAATGTGTGAAGTACCTAGTTGACATCACCCTCCATCCTGGTCTCCCCCATCACTCGTAACCCCAACCACCCCACCCCTTTCCCTTTCTACCCTTTTCTAACCCCCTCCCCCATCCCCCCGTCTCCCCCTACCCTCTTCTAACCCCCTCCCCGTCTCACACCTTCCCCCCCTTAGTCAGTGTTAAATGTTGGTAAGTGAAGTACCTAGTTGACACATCCCATCGCTCCTGTCGAGCTGGGCAGCGGGGTGCATCTGTGTGGGAGGGGTGAAAGAGGGAGAGGAGGAGGGGGTAGGTGGGAGAAGCGAGAGAGAGTGGGAGAAAGAGATGGAGAGAGAGAGGAGAGAGCTGAGGGGGGGGGGGGGGGGGGGAGAGATAGTGGTTAATGTGACAGCCAACATTCATTAACCGTTCATCAGTCAGGTAATTAATGAGATTGATAATCGATTGGTTTCTATCCTCTGTCTCTCCCTCTCCAGCTATAGACCTATCACACACGCACACCTTTTTGTGACATGGAAATAATATGCCCTAACAGGCTGTCCTACAGTGGCACTCTGTCCCATAGTAAACTACAGTGGTGTGTGTAGTATGTCCCATAGGCCACAGTGGTATTTGTGAGAGGCTAACACAGCTGTTTCCCCCGTGTGTGTGTGTGCATGCGCGAGCTTGAGGAGAGCCCCAGTGTTGACATCATTCCATCCGCCTGCTCCTCTGTGTGGTAACACATCACTCCCTAACTCCAACCCTGAATGCTGAAGGGTACACGTTTCAGTGTGTGTGTGTGTGTTGGGGGGGTTGTGTGGAGAGAGTTACTTCAGTGTTCATTCATGTCAGAGAGGAAAAGGCGAAGCGAGAGGATTTACTCTGCCCAAAATCTGTCCGCTTGAGATAAGCCCTTTTTTGTATGGAGGTCTATGGAGAGTGTAGAATTACATGAGGCTTATATTATCAAATAGAAGTTTCGTAATGTTTAGACTGTTACAAAAGTACTGATATAAGTGGATGCACGTGGCATTCCGGCAACTTTGAGAAAAACTTAGTTGTGCCTGTTGTTCACATGCGTATCTGCCCTCTCATTGACTAGAATGGTCTCACCTGATCCGCCTGCCTTTAACAACGGAAATGCATGTCCTCAATGATTGGAGCGGTCACTCGGTTATCTTGTCAATATAATAGATAATCTTTGTTCATGTCATCTTATAGGTGTGACAAAAGCACGTTGTGTCAATAGTTACACGTTGTGTCAAATGTGTGTGTGTGTGTGTGTGTGTTTACAGTCAGTTATAAGACTCCTCGGCCATTGCAGTTCTAGAGAAACAGAAGTGAAATGTACAAGAATAGGAAATCAAAACTTTACAAAAGCTCCTAGAATAACCACATCTGTTTATTGTTCACCCAGAGTGATAGTCATATGACTACATTTAATAGGAAGGAAAAATATTACCACAGCCCTGAAACAACCAAAAGACAACTTCTTTATAAACAGAAGTACATACTCTGAGGATTAGAATGTGTAGAGAGAGGGGGATAGACAGAAATAGAAAGAGACAGAAAGAGAGAGAGAGAAACAGAGGGGGAGGAGTAAGAAACTCAAACAGGAAGTACCTGTGCTAAGGTCTATTCAACGCTGGTCTGACCAATTGGAAAACATGCGTAAAGATTGTTTTGATCACGCGGACTGGGATATGTTCCAGGTAGCCTCTGAGAATAACATTGACGTATACACTAGCCGGCTACCACCCGGTTACTCATCCCTGCACCTTAGAGGCTGCTGCCCTATATACATAGACATGAAATCTCTGGTCACTTTAATAATGGAACACTAGTCACTTTAATAATGTTTACATACTGCTTTACTCATTTTATATGTATATACTGTATTCTATTCTACTAGATTTTAGTCAATGCCACTCCGACATTGCTCGTCCTAATATTTATATATTTCTTAATTCCATTCTTTTACTTTTAGATATTTGTGTATTGTTGCGAATTGTTAGATACTACTGCACTGTTGGCGCTAGGAACATAAGCATTTTGCTACACCCGCAATAACATCTGCTAAATATGTGTAAATATGTGTATAGTGGGGAAAAAAAGTATTTAGTCGGCCACCAATTGTGCAAGTTCTCCCACTTAAAAAGATGAGAGGCCTGTAATTTTCATCATAGGTACACGTCAACTATGACAGACAAAATGAGAAAAAAAATATCCAGAAAAATCACATTGTAGGATTTTTTATGAATTTATTTGCAAATTATGGTGGAAAATAAGTATTTGGTCAGTAACAAAAGTTTGTCAATACTTTGTTATATACCCTTTGTTGGCAATGACACAGGTCAAACGTTTTCTGTAAGTCTTCACAAGGTTTTCACACACTGTTGCTGGTATTTTGGCCCATTCCTCCATGCAGATCTCCTCTAGAGCAGTGATGTTTTGGGGCTGTCGCTGGGCAACACGGACTTTCAACTCCCTCCAAAGATTTTCTATGGGATTGAGATCTGGAGACTGGCTAGGCCACTCCAGGACCTTGAAATGCTTCTTACAAAGCCACTCCTTCGTTGCCTGGGCGGTGTGTTTGGGATCATTGTCATGCTGAAAGACCCAGCCACGTTTCATCTTCAATGCCCTTGCTGATGGAAGGAGGTTTTCACTCAAAATCTCACGATACATGGCCCCATTCATTCTTTCCTTTACACGGATCAGTCGTCCTGGTCCCTTTGCAGAAAAACAGCCCCAAAGCATGATGTTTCCACCCCCATGCTTCACAGTAGGTATGGCGTTCTTTGGATGCAACTCAGCATTCTTTGTCCTCCAAACACGACGAGTTGAGTTTTTACCAAAAAGTTATATTTTGGTTTCATCTGACCATATGCCATTCTCCCAATCCTCTTCTGGATCATCCAAATGCACTCTAGCAAACTTCAGACGGGCCTGGACATGTACTGGCTTAAGCAGGGGGACACGTCTTGCACTGCAGGATTTGAGTCCCTGCGGCGTAGTGTGTTTACTGATTTGAGTCCCTGGCGGCGTAGTGTGTTACTGATGGTAGGCTTTGTTACTTTGGTCCCAGCTCTCTGCAGGTCATTCACTAGGTCCCCCCGTGTGGTTCTGGGATTTTTGCTCACCGTTCTTGTGATCATTTTGACCCCACGGGGTGAGATCCTGCGTGGAGCCCCAGATCGAGGGAGATTATCAGTGGTCTTGTATGTCTTCCATTTCCTAATAATTGCTCCCACAGTTGATTTCTTCAAACCAAGCTGCTTACCTATTGCAGATTCAGTCTTCCCAGCCTGGTGTAGGTCTACAATTTTGTTTCTGGTGTCCTTTGACAGCTCTTTGGTCTTGGCCATAGTGGAGTTTGGAGTGTGACTGTTTGAGGTTGTGGACAGGTGTCTTTTATACTGATAACAAGTTCAAACAGGTGCCATTAATACAGGTAACGAGTGGAGGACAGAGGAGCCTCTTAAAGAAGAAGTTACAGGTCTGTGAGAGCCAGAAATCTTGCTTGTTTGTAGGTGACCAAATACTTATTTTCCACCATAATTTGCAAATAAATTCATAAAAAATCCTACAATTAGATTTTCTGGATTTTTTCTCTCTCAATTTGTCTGTCATAGTTGACGCGTACCTATGATGAAAATTACAGGCCTCTCTCATCCTTTTAAGTGGGAGAACTTGCACAATTGGTGGCTGACTAAATACTTTTTCCCCCCCACTGTATGTGACCAATAAAATTTGATTTGATTTTGAAGAGAGACACGTGCATCACTAACTGTAACCATACCCAGAATACCCCGGGTTGACAGTGATGGCTCCATCACCATGGTAACCTGAGCTGTGTTCCACTGTGATGTAAGATTCCACTGGAGGAGGAAAACAATCCCTGCCAACCAGATATGTGTGCGTGTGTTAGAGCTGGGCGATATGGAGAAAAATTCCTATCGCGATACATTTCCTGAATTGATGCAATAACAATAAATAGAACAATAAGTTTATAACATTAATGTGCACCACAGGTTTTTATTTATTTATTATCCTTTAAACTACTACTACTAGTTTGATTGTTGTAGCCATCAATTGTCCCATTAACAATCACCCATATTAGCAAACTTAATTCATTTCAAAACTTTACATTTCTTTAGTATAGGCTTCTTATTGTAATGAACGATATCAGCAAAATGCCTGCAATAAGTGATCGGTATGGTCGGTGTCGATAATTTTCGGTTTATCGTCCCAGCTCTAGTGTGTGTGTGTGTGTATCCAAGTCCACCAGATGTTTGTCCACAGCTAAGCATGGCCAGGTCTTCGCAAGAAAGATACATCTGTACACACCGCCTGGTATCAATACTTTATTACTGAAGTTAGCCAGAGAGATTGTAGTACAGGCAGCTGATACTCTGTTTTATCATGGCAAATTCAGAGATAGATCACATTTGGTATCGAATAGCTTCAAATTCTAATCAAGGGCTTAGTAATTAGGTGATTAGTTGAATCAGGTGAGCAAAAATATGCAAGGACTGGCTGGGGTTTTGTTAAGATGGATTGGAAAACTTTCTTATATGGAAAGAGAGACGGAGGGATTTCTATCCTATCAGCTGAAAGGTCTCAAAGATGTCTCTATGGGATTTAATCTGTCATGACCTCATAATCTGGTGATAATCTGGTGTCATGATAATCTACACAGTGAAAGACTGGGAAGCAGCCATGCACTCCTGAGTCCCTCAACATATATTTGATTATTATTAACTTTGGCATGAGAACTCAGGGAATGGAGAGGACTAAAATTTCATCCAGCGTCTCCACTTAAACAGGTTTAAATCTCCTTATGTCTCTCACACAGGCATGCAGGCACGCACACACACCCATCCCTCACATACAGACACAAATAGGTCCTGGCTAGGGCAGTCATGACATTTTGTCAGCCGGTGATTGTCAAGCAAATAACTGTCGATCTCACGGTAATTGATCGTTAATTAACATAAACACATTTAGCATCTCCTGGCTTCCACACATAGCCTACAAGCCACTGATGCTGACCATTGGAACATCTACATTTAAAAAAGTCTAATAAATCCATGTAATATAGCCTACACCTTTACAATAAATCCATTATTTATTTTAGACAGGTCTAAAGAAGCATGATATGAAGAAAATGTAGTCTATTTCAGAAGAACAGAATAGCATACTCTGAGTTGTCCTTATGTTAGATCCTGATCTGGCTATGCCAAATGGCTGTGGGCTACACTAGTTCATTTAGCAGACAAGATTTGCTTAGAATTCCGTGGCATTATTTTATATTATGAAGAATACAATTGAACAAAGCTGAATAAGTGCGCACTGCGGCTATTCTGTGTTGAGCGGTTAACAAATAAATAGGTACTCTTATAAGCTTAATTTAGAGTTATTCATGTAACTTTAGTTGTTCTACAAATGTTGGGCTATAGGTTTGATTTTCAATACATTGTAAGGCTGCATGATGCAACTCTAATGATGATTGGAAAAAAAGTCGCTTGAAAAGGCATGAGCTCTGCTTTGTTTTTTTTTGCGCAGGCTGTACACACTTCGTCAGTCTCTCATTCACAATTTGAGAAGCCTTGAATTTCCCGGTGGCTTCCCCTTTGTGTGGCCATAATGCACCCTAAAAAAATCCATGCCTTTTGCAGCCCTTCTCCCTAAATGCTGCCCGCTCTGAAGCCTCTCCATCACGTGATCGGGTCTTTCTCACAGGCTACAAGTGAAGACAAACACATCGGGGACGCAACTGCACGCGTCCTTATCCAATTCCGAGGTGCATATTGAAGATATTGGAAGAACTGTCCAGATGTACTTTTCGTCAGCCAACAAGATGAGTAGGCCTAACGAACAGCAAAAGCACTAGCCTATGTCAATCTACTATCCTCCATAGTACAAAAGTTGATCTATTCTATTCTGTGCGAGAAATTAATATTCCAAACATAGTCTGGGACAGTTGTGGGATGCGATAGATCCCAAATTAATACAATCACTAGCGTCCCAAAAAAGTTTTTACGCAATGAGGTTAACGCAACAGATCAGAACGTTTAGCTTAAAATGTTGATAAACTATTAGGCTATTTCTTCACATTATAAGCACAGCAATGCGCACATGGCAGTAGGCTTTAAGCGCAAATGTTCCATTAGCGGGAAAACACCACTATCAAAAGTGACCACAAATGGGATTATGCATGTAATGCTTTTATTATAAAAAAGGTGCATTTTTATAGTGAAAATTATCTTCCCCAAACTTGAAACTCACACGCTGCTTATGTATGCCAGTTAGGCTCTACACCTCTTGTAACGCATATTAATGTTAATTGGCCACTTTAGTTGTGATACAAACCTTATTAAAATAGTAGGCCTATCGGCTAGGCTACGAGGTGTGCGACTATGATTAAAAAAAGCTCGCAAAAAAAAGGCATGGTTTCTTATACTGGGCATCATTCACAAGTGATAACATATAATTCACAAGTGATAGGCTAATATTGTCACCCATCAGACTATTCTTGATTTAATCTTGTCTTTACATATACTAAATTATATATATATATATATATATATATATATATGTGAAATTTGTTTAGAATTAGAATGGACCATTATCATGCACTTGTATCGAAACAGGGGAAGCGGGAAAAAAAGACATGTCATCTATGCACTTAAATAGCGAATGGAGGACGCTTTCCCCCGTGGTTTATTTTCATGCCAGCCAGGTAGGCTATCCTTCTGTTGTAAATATAAGCAATGTGCTTAATATTATGAAAGTTGAAAAATAAATATAGTAGGCCTAGCCTATAGAAAGCTGATCCTCCTCTTTTCAGTAGAGGCCATCACTGTTTTCTTGCGCAATTGCATAGCCTATTGAAATGTTGCGCAACATGAGCTGATGGGCTCTCATGAAGTGTTTGATTAGGCAGTTAGCAAGTTTGGTAGGCTACTAATGACCATCAGCAGCATCAGAGCTTGGAGAAGCCTAATTACCGTGACTAAACGGTCACGTGGAATTTGACTGCCTTCATGACTCGTGACCGCCGGTGTGGCGGTAATACGGTCACCGCAACAGCCCTAGTCCTGGCTGTGTTATTGTCTAGGCCAGAAATACATAATGCCGACTCCAATCTGCCCTTTTGCTTGCTTGCTTACACTGACAGACAAGACTTCACGCTTCCGTTAACCCCTACACCAGGGGTTCCCAAACTTTTTCACTCAGGTCCCCCATCCAGCATTGGGGAACATCCCGCGCCCCCCCCCTGCGTGCACCACGTCTATTTCTATGGGTAAAGCATTGTTCATGAGACAAACTGTTCACACACCTCTTGTTGGTGGAGAGAATTTTGCAGGTTTAAAGTTTATTTCCTGCAATTCTACACATTTTGTCATGGGGCACAAATAAAATGTTGCAGTTTTAAAGCAAATTTTCTTGCAATTCCATACATTTTGCTACGTCTAATGTGTATCCATGTGATATTTGAGTGACAAAAAAATTACAACAATATCTACAGGCTAAAAAACCTAAATAAAAAAAACGGTAGCTGACATGGGCTAGTTGATCTGGACATTTCTGACAAGTTATAAATAGCTCTCTAAGATATGACTTACATGACAAGATGAACTGATGAGGCACTACCCATTGCACCTTGTGCATTCTACTATTACAACTTTCAAGAGTAAGTTTAAAGCTGGACTGAGTTCCCAAACTTTTGGCACCCCCCCTTGCGCACTAGCCCCACAGTTTGGGAACCACTGCCCCACACACACACTTACTTAGATTATGGAACTCCGCATCGTCTGTTGCAGACAGGGCATGTGAAGTCACCTACGAAAGGCAGAGCCTTTTATTTATAAGGGTCAAGGGTCAATAGGGCATTGGCCTAGAGAGGTCAGAGGCCACGGAACCATGCTGGGGTGTGTATGTATGTGTTGAGATGACAGCTTTGGACCTGGGTGTGTGCGATTGTGGATTTTGCTGTGGCAGGCTTCACCAGCAACAAGAGTCAGACAATAGAAGACACTGCCACTTGCTCCAGAAAAGCGTGGGCACTCTTCTCCTCCTTCTTAGGAATAATCTGTAATGCTCACTAGTTTTAGCAACAGAAACACACAGTTTGAATTAAACAAAAGTCAAGACTACAACACTTCTTGTACGTACTGCTGGTGGAGACAGATTTGTTAAAACACTCAATGCTCTTATCCTGAGATACAGAACAGAGGCAAGACGGCCAACTCTCCTTTGTTGAAAATTCGGACAAATCTACATGAAAGTGGTTGTAAAGAATAGCAGCGTGGCAGAGTGGCATTGTGCCGCCACCATCCTTACAGGGGATAAGAGCTATTGACTGTTAATCACTATGGTCCTTTCCATTACAGTAGCTGGTGTTGCTGTTGTTGTTTCATTAGTTGACTCTGTGGGGGGGGATGAAAGAATGCTGACACCCCAGGAAGGTCTATTAAACTATGTTAACGCTCCACCGCCAAACACAAAGAGCTTAAATACTAATAAAACATGATTATGTTTAAACCATCTATACAGTACACCTGCAACAAAAGGGCTTAAATACTAAAGATAGACAGCGGGCAGAAAGGGTGTGTGTGTGTGTGTGTGTGTGTGGTGTACTGTGACAGAGCAGCTATCCATGGAATCCAAGCCAATATAGTACAGTACACACACACACACTAAGCCCCCCGCACTGCTCACTCCAAACACTAACAGAGTTGAGTTGACGAAACACTATAGTCACATGGTAAACATGGTTCTATCAACGTAAAGAATCCAAACATGCATTCTTGCTGCACAACAACAACTACAGGAAATAATGGGTTTTAGTTAATATGAATACCCCCTGTGTTGCAATTGTAGTTCACTGTATTTTATTCTACTGTAGGGCCCTGGGTATTACAGAGGGATACATCAAACACCAGGAGAAACAGACAGACACAGACCATTACAACAAAGAGGACTTATTGTAACTCATAAGAAGCCATTACAGCAAGTAACTACTGTACTGTAGTAAGGAAAGGTTAGGTTTGTAACACAGTAGTTAGGCTTTGTTCTCTGAATTATGTTGTGACACAACGGTCAGGCATCTAGTGGTCTTCACTCGCAGTCACTTAGTAGCCTACTCCCGACCAAAAGCCTCTGACTTCACTGGCTTGTCTTATAATCAATGTGATTTTGTTTCACTAACTCTCTGTCTGTATAGGCTATTTGGTTAGTTGGTTTCTGGCTGGAAAAATAAGTGGAGGTGGTATAGCTCATCTATTCGTTTGCTCATCTATCACTGATCAAAAACATTTAGCATGCAATAATGTAGCCTAAATCAAGAGTAGGCCCATTATTTTGCTCAATCGCATATAGACAGCTCCAAAAGTCTGCCTACGTTGTGAAATATGAACACGAGACTCACATGCTTTTGAAAATAGGATTGTTATTATTGGGTAGGAAAGAGATTCAACGTGGATCAAAAACGCATGGGCTTGGGTTTCAAAATATAACTTTTTTTTATATATGACAGCGGTTCTACACATTCCCATGACAAGTTGTGTGGGAAAAATATTTTGTATTTTATTCTGTTATATTCTTCTTACTATCAAATATATATATATATATATATATATATATATATATATATATATATATATATATATATGCGTGTTGACTGTGATCGGGTAGGTTTGTTTTGTCTGTTTAATGAACAAAATAGCAAACTATTGACTTCATTTGGATGGCACAGCCATGGCTGCACAGACACGTAACATAGGCCTAATTAAACTCAAAATATGCTATTCTTTTGAAAATATATTGTATTAGTCTTATGTTTCTCAGGATCTGCCTAAACAAATTAATAATGGATTTCTTTTGGATGGTGTATATTCTCAATGGATTTATAAAAGTAGACACCCACCCACATCTGCACACCATTACAACCACTCATCCCCAGCATGCTGGCATGCACACGGGAGGTATAAAAACGCATATGCAGGCAAGAATGTGGTGAAAATGGGCCTGCTTGTAAGGGGGGCATATAAAGATTGGCCCAAATTTTTTTACAGGCAAAATACCGTAATTCCTATGTGAAAGCAGTAATCATAGTCTGAAGTAAATCTTCAAAGCCAGACCCACGCCTCTGCTCTCTGTGTGGGCTCCTATTACCACAGTCATGTGTAACTGCATTGACTTCTACTCTGCTGCTTTATAGAATGACCAAACTACATTAACAAAATATGTGCTGCTAACTGCATTTAAGGGCTACAGTTACTGCACTTCTGTAAAGGAATGGAGCTTAGAGCACCTGTCCTTCGACATATGTTGTTATAGGTGTATTAGAGGAAGTCAAGGAATATTTCTGATCAAAATGTCTAGTAGTTTGTGTGTGTGTGTGTGTGTGTGGGGGGGGGGGGGGGGGGGGGGGGGGGGGGGGTGGAGTGGCAGAAAAACAAAAGGGAGAGGGAGATAAGACAGAAGAAGCAGAGGGGTAAGAGATAGGATAGCAAATAGTTATCTCCTTAAGTCTTCCACCAACAGACAGTTTCCATACCCTCTACTCAAGTGAGAATCCTATAAACACTATGAAACCATCCTACATAGAAATGGAGCTTCCCTAAGCCCATAGGCTGACTGCTTCCTAGGGCTGGCACAACAATTAATAATTGTGTAATAATTGTGTAATAATCAGGTAATAAACAATTATGGATTATAAACATGAAGTAAAATAAATAAATCATCATAATCTTCTTAATGGGATACTTTAGGATTTTGGCAATGAGGCCCTTTATCTACTTCCACAGAGTCAGATGAACTTGTGGATGTCTCTGTGTCCAGTATGAAGGAAGTTTCGAGAGCGAATGCTAACCATCGTCAACACAATGACTGGAAGTCTGTGGGTATCTGCTAGCAGGAAGTATCCGTTTAATGCATTAATTTTAGGAGGGGGGGGGGGGGGCAACTTTATTTTCAAGTAGGACTAGATATAGTTTACTGAATAGCAGTTTTTCATTTTTACATGAAGAAGGCAAAGTTGCTAACTATTTTGCGAGCAGAACATCGTGATTGGTAGAAAAAACGTCCCAAAAACGTATAAAAGTTCCAAGTGGTAAAAAACCATTCATTCATTTTCTAAACTGAGGTGTCACCAAAGCTGTGTTGTATTCATTAGATATTTTGTAGCACATTTTCAAATAAGCATTATGATGCATTACAAGCGCAAAACATTTTAACAAAAATGACAATAAACTGTTGTCATTTGCATGAAAATTAATCGTTACCCAAAACTCCATAATCATCACAGCCCTACTGCTTACACCTACCTGAAGGTCGTATCAGATGGAAACTTTGGTCAATAGGATACATGAAATTGTTGGAAGCATCAAGATTACCGCTGTGCTGGAGTTGGTCTAATGGAATTGAGCGGAGACTCAGATTTTTCATTTAAAATGTATGCCAAACAAAAACCATTGATTTCAAAGTTTAACAAACCATACAACTCTATGCACAAGGACTACTTTTAACAATTTACAGACAAAAAGATCACACCATGTCGAACGAACAAATGATCTGTCGGCATTTATAAAATTGTTCCGAAACTTTGTTTCCATCACAGCTGTCGTGATTTTTTTTTTTATACGTTATGACTTTACTTGCATAAAAACATGGTTACTGGCTATTATTTTTAATGAGCACTGCCCCAAAACAAGTCCACATTTGGTTGGTCCAGACCGGACCAAATCTGAACCAATCATAGTTAGACGTCTATGTTTCAGCACAGTAGAGCTCAGTAGAGTACAGCACGGTAGAGTAGAGTTCAGTAAAGTACATTATAGCATACTCTACTTTTCTTTACTGTGCTGTACTATGCTGTCCAAGCTTGTTAACCCGACTGCGGTTTGTGACTACTACGATTTCCCGTTGTAGCCAACGCAATTTCAGAAATTCCGTTACCAAATAGGTAACGGAATTTAGTTTTAATCACTTAATAATTCATAAACAAAATTGATATCAGTAAAAACACTAACTAATTGATAGGTCTACCTTTACTTGTGAATTATGTTAAGTTTCATTATCCTCCCTCCTCATGAGGGAGAGAAATTAGAAAATATCTTAAAGATATGTGGGTTTTTGGAAAGTTCAAGGCACAAGGCAATGTTTCTTAAACTTACAGAAGGCAGAAACATTTATCCAAAACGAAATATACAGTAAATGTTGATATTAGTTAGCAGGGGTCTTTACGTCAACATTATGTTTTGATGTATTTCTAACACCTTTTAAGACTTTTTTAGGTAGATGTTTTCTAAGACACCTTTTCCATCGGTTTGACCAGAAATCAAAGCCTTTGCTTATTCCAAATTTTTTGGATGGAAAATGGTTGAAAAATGTATATATGCCTTAATTTCAACAACAAAAATAGACTTGTAACTTTCATTTGACACCCAATTTGATATGCTCCTATGAACTGTTGGTGCTCATGGGTCCTTTTAAATGGAAATGTCCATATGCGCCTTACATCTACCTAACGAATACAGGTTGCCAGATCTGCCAGACTGGTCTATGGATATTAATACATTTAGTCCCATAGATACACATCATAAGAACATTTGTAAGTCTGAGTCATCTAACGGTGACTCTGTTTTGAGTGTCATATGCCTTAGGCTGAGTGTCAGTGTGTGTGTGATTGTGTGAGAGTGACTGAAGGGGTGGATATGAGTATGGTTGTCTGCGTGTGTACCTGAGTGTGTATACGGAAAAGTCAGACACACAGTAAGTCAGTCAGTCAGTCAGTGAGCAATAAATATCCATACGTAAAAATGTATGCACACATGACTGTAAGTCGCTTTGGATAAAAGCATCTGCTAAATGGCATATTATTATTATTATTATTATTATTATTATTATTATTATTATATTATTATTAAAGCCCATCAATTACTTCTGTCATTTAGACAGGCTAAATCCTTGACAGTGTCATTCTGGCAAAAAAGGGCCAATTTGTCAGATATCCTGCTGTTCACGCAACACACCATCACAGCTTATTGTGAAATAGATAAATTACTTATTCAAAATTCGTGACAGGCACGCGAAAAAGTCCATGTTATCGTGTACAGTACACAATTTTCTTCATAGCGCATTCATGTACATTACACAATTTTCTTACAAATTCCAATTAGTTGTTGCTAACATTAGCAATTTTGGCAATAGGCCTAGAGATGATAAATATATTCAGCTGAAATGTCTGGTTCATTCATTTCTAAACATTGTATTCTGTTTCTAAAGGATGCTGCTGGAGACTTGAATGCATTGAAGCCTGCTTACTTACCTGCACCCCACGCCGGAATGTCATTCAGAAAAATGGTAGAGTTCAATGGGATCTCGCACTCAAACCATAAAAAGCTGAATGTCAGAGATAAACGGAACATGCACGTGAGATTATTATGACTTATTATCTGTGATCGCACTCTGAGCCACAGAAGTGGCCGGCAGGAGGTAGCCTCGAGGTTTGAACGGTCGCTGGTTCAAATAACGTAACCGACAAGGTAAAAAAAAAATCATAATCTGTCACTGTGCCCTTGAGCAAGGCACTTAACCCTAATTGCTCCAGGGGCACTGTACAATGGTGACCCCACTCCCTGCGGGTGTCTCAGGGGAAGTTGGGATATACAAGAAATATCTCCATTACACACTTGTGTGTAACAGGACAAATATAAGCACCCTCAAAATTATTATTAGGTTATACCTCCACACTCTCTCTGAGGTACACAGAGACACAAGCACAGTGACCCAGCACAGCAGGGTAATCTCAGTCACATGCTAACTACGGTGGGCAAACACACCACAATCCACGTCTGAAACCCACTTCACACTCACCATAGTAATATTAATTAAATAACAGTAGGCTAGGCTTAATAGCCTAATCCAGGGATCATGAACTAGATTCAACCGCGGGCTGATTGTTTCTTGAGCGGATGGTCAGAGGGCCGGAACATAATTACAAATAATTTGTGGACTGCAAATTGACAGCAAGATATAATATCCGACTAAAACAATATTTTCAACCCTTGCTCACATTTGTATATGATCACAAATCTCTATTATACGTGAGAATACTTTGGAACAGATTTCCAAAATTAAAATCATGATTTGCTAGTTTTTATACAATTTTCTATGTCCCCCCCCCCCAAAAAAAAAAACTGTATTTATTTATTGCTATGACATGCACTGTCAACTGTGGGACCTTTTATAGACAGGTGTGGGCCTTTCCAAATCATGTCCAATCAATTGAATTTACCACAGGTGGACTCCAATCAAGTTGTAGAAAAATCCCCAGGATAATCAATGGAAACAGGATGCACCTGAGCTCAATTTCGAGTCTCATAGCAAAGGGTCTGAGTACTTATGTAATTAAGGTATTTTCTGGTTTTTATTTTCTATACATTTGTAAAAACCTGTTTTCGCTTTGTCATTATGGGGTATTGTGTGTAGATTGATGAGGACAAAATGTATTTAATCCATTTTAGAATAAGGCTGTAACCTAACAAAATGTGGAAAAAGGCAAGGGGTCTGAATACTTTCCGAATGCACTGTAGATAACGCATAAAAACACGACTTGGTACATGATCGCTCACATTCACGCTTCTCTGTATCGGCCCCAGATAAGAAAAACGACCCACGTGTGAATTATGAAAGTAATGAAGGCTACATAATCATATAGCCCAATTTGTGCAGCCTAGCCTACAAACCAAAGGTTCTGCTGCAGCCTGTCATTGTGTAGAAAGCGCCAGAGATTATAGGCTACGAACGTAACTGGTGAGGACCAAAAAAAATCTTCCTTCCTCATGTGGGCTCACAGACGTATGCACACATACAAACCTGTTCCTCCAAGCTCTGTTTCCAGGACAACCATACAGGGAGTAATAAAGCTTGTCCTTAAGATCAGATGCGATCCCTATATGGTGACTGATGGATAGATTAATAGTCCTACCTGCTTATAGTCAAGTACCTTAACTCCTCCATGGAGTTGAGCGCAGACTAGCATTTTTTTAAATGACTCCTTCGAGTAACTATGTGTCGATACAGCAAAAACCCTCCCCTAACACGGATGACGCCGGGCCAATTGTGCACCGCCCTATGGGACTCCAGATCACGGCCGGTTGTGATACAGCCTGGGATTGAACCCAGGTCTGGAGTGACGCCTTAGACCGCTGCGCCACTCGGGAGGCCCATTACTTCATATTATAAGCTCAACAATGCGCATATAGCTGTAGGCTACACGCAAATGTTCCAAAATGCAATTAGCGGGAAAACACCGTTCTCAAAAGCGCACCGCACACGCGAGCGGTTTCATGTGACAGATTAAAATATCTCTTAGAAATTAAGAAAGAGGGAGATCTAAAGATGCATCAACTAGCATGGGATATTTTACTAATATGAATAGGATTATGCCTTTGGCTGCTGGACAATAAAATTAAGTTCATTTGAAAACCAATTAGAACATGAGACAATATGCCATTGAAACCAGCAATTAAGTGTTTATAAAATAATTCCCTCAACATTTCTATGATCGTATTTCGGCTAGGCTAGGCTACTTTGAAACAAGGTAAGACATGCTTCATAAAATGACAAAATGTCTAGGTTTTAAACAATTAAGTTTATGGTTAAAAAGTTTCAAAATGCTCACCACCTCCGCTCAGATTCAAGGTGGGTGCGGTGCGCAACAGGCACTGTCCTTCACTCTCTGGTCTTGTGACCATTTGATCTGAACGAACTGTGCATCGAGTGGGCCTATGTTGACAAAATCAAGCCTTTAGATGTTAATGTTAACTATCCTTTATTACATGTGTCAAACATGACTGCCGTTAAGCCTATAGTTATGTAATTAAAAGTCTCTCAGCATCGATTTGGACATGAAGCTGTAGCCAATATGCATTTCACATACACTTTGACATGTAGGCTTTTCTTGTTTATGTACATGAACAACAGATTTGAATATTATCCAATTATGATCTGAGTAATTGTTTGATATTGTGATTTGTGTGTGACTTTCTTTATTTGTCCATTCGGACAACTTAAATCTATATTCTTCTTATCCCGGACAAGAGGACAAGCGTTAATGTCAAGCCCTGAAATCCATACTTTTTAATAAAGCGTTAAATCAAATACAACCACCGACTGATTCTAGATTCAAGCTCTAATAGGTTGGAGGACGTCCTCGGAAGTCGTCATAATTACTGTGTGTAAGTCTATGGAAGGGGGTGAGAGAACCATGAGCCTCCTAGGTTTTGTATTGAAGTAAATTTACCTTGAGGACGGAAAATAGCTGTCCTCCGGTTACACCATGGTGTTACCCTAGAGTAGGGGTTCCCAAACTTTCACTCAGGCCCCCCTTCCAGCATTGGGGAACAAACTGCGCATGCCACGTCTATTTCTATGGGCACAAGCACTGTTCATGACAAACTGTTCATACCACTTTTGTTGGCAGAGAGAACATTTTGCAGGTTTAAAGCTTATTTCCTGCAAATCTATACATTTTGCCATGGGATCAGTGGCGATGCGTCATTCAGGGCATGTGGGGCAGAGCCCCAACTGTTTTGAGCCCCACCTGTTTTGCATGTTATTCTGGCATTAATGTGTGTCACATATCAGTTTTCAAACAATGTCCAAAAAAAGATCTAGTTAATAAAGCTGCATACAAACATGGTCTCTTTTCTGCTTTCTTGAGTAAGGCAGTTCAAATTGTAGGTGTTTCAGCCTAGCTCAGTGCTTTCTTTGGTGGTGGGGCAGCCAGCTGTAAATACTGAGCGTAGGGGTTGGTAATGTTCTCTAGTTGCTCCGTAATTGGCTCAGTGTTCTGTCACTCATGGGGACACTATGTCACCGCAAAATCTATGGGTAGAGCTCGAAAATTCAAGCCCCTTGGGTGCTGCCATAGACTTACATTAAAAGTGCCCATCCAAGAAGGCTCAAGGTCATTGGCCACAGATGAAATGACGTCAAATTATATCTACCGTAGCTTTGATTGGACTGATCATGTCAACATCATACTTTCAAAATCTTAGCTAGCAAGCTAGACAAGCAGTCATCATCATGTATCAACTCTGCAATGTACTGGCAAATCCTTTTCAATCCTTGTCATATGAAGAGAAATTATAGATAAAACGTATCGGTGCCATTGGTCATAAACATTACACAACAAGTTGGAAATTGCAAATTCAACAATGAGTGCTAAGGCACCACTGCAGCCCCAGGTTCAATCCCAGGCTGTGACACAGCCGGCTGTGACCGGGAGACCCATGAGGTGGCGCACAATTGGCCCATCGTCGTCCGGGTTAGGGGAGGGTTTGGCCGGCCTGGATGTCCTTGTCTTATCGTGCTCTAGTGACTCCTTGTTGCAGGCCGGGCACACGCAAGCTGACTTCGGTCGTCAGTTTGACAGTGTTTCCTCCAACACATTGGTGCGGCTGGCTTCCGGGTTAAGCGAGCAGTGTGTCAAGAAGCAGTGTGGCTTGGCTCTCGACCTTCGCCGAGTCCGTAAGGGGAGTTGCAGTGATGAGACAAGATCTTAACTACCAATTGGATATCACGAAAAAGGGGGTAACACCATGGGCCAGAAAAGTTTGAATACATTGGCCATGCTGTCAATCCAGCATGACTTCTACCGCGTTCAAAACAACTGGAAACTCAGAACTGGGAAATCTCAGACTTCAGTAAGTTCAAGACAACTGGGAACTCTGATAAAACTAGCTCTGACTGGGAAAATACGGAAAATGATTTTGAACGGTCATCCGTTGGGATTTCGGGCCTCTTTCTAGAGCTAACAAGAAGGACCGCCGCGCCACCTTCTTGTTCAAGTGAGCACAGCACAACAAGGTGAGTCCAAAAATGTATTGTATGATGCTGCATAAATTATGTAATATGCCAGGGAGATCCTGTAGCTAAGAAAGTAATACTTAGTGTATGTTGTGTAGTAAGCTGTTAGTAGCCCATGTGCCTCACCCTTATAATGTGGTCCCTTTCCCCCTCATAATTTAGCCTACTGTTCTGACTTGGTGGTGCAAATGTAGCCTATGTAATCATTGAATATTGTAAGAGCTTTCATTGTCTGCTTATATACCCCCTATCTTTATCCTACGGTTCTGACTTGGTGTACAGGGAGAATACTAAGAACGGCCCATGTTCTGAATTATGTCGCTGTACATTTCAAAAGAGCTGAACAAATAGTTATATTGACTACGTCCGTCCTAGCTCGCTCATTGTCTTAATCCAAATTACGTATTGCCTCTTATGCGCTCATCGTCCCCTTATGCCATAGTTTGTACATCTCAATTTTCAGTAGAAACCACATTTGTTTAAGCAAGTCAGCCATATCAGCTATGTTTTTTTAAACTGCAGTAAATTAAGCTGAATTAACTGTTTCGCTGCCAGACAAGGCTCCACTGATAGCCGGGTGTAGCAGTGGTAAGGATTCACTACATGGTGCTGAAAAGAAAGCTCTGCTGTTGGGAACGCTTTATGTAGGCCCTAACAGTTTGTGGGCACCGTTTGTCACCGTTATATAGTGCAATTAATGTATTGTTTAGTGTTGTGGCTTTGCTTGCATGCATCCTCCCCAAAAAAAATCTGTTTGCCCCAGCAAGATTTACATGCTAAAATCGCCACTGCACTTTTTTGTGTCATTTTAAAGCTAATTTCCTGCTATTCTACACATTTTGCCATGTCTTGTGTGTGTTCATGTTATCTTTGAGTGACACAAACATTACAACAAAATCAATGGGCTAAAAAAACCTAGCTACAAAACGTTAGCTGACATGGGCTAGTTGATCTGGACAAGTTATAAATAGCTCTCTAAGATCTGCAATGACAAGAGTAAAACTGCTGATGCACTACCCATTTTCGAAATTGCACCTTGTACATTCAACTATTACAACTGTCAGGAGTAAACTGAAAGCCGGACTGAGTTCCTTAAAAATATCCCCTTCCCAGTTTGGGAACCACTGAGCATCGCGGCAGGTAGCCTAGCGGTTAAGAGCGCTGATTCGAATCCCAGAGCTGGCAAGGTGGAAAAATTCTGCCCTTGTGCGAGGCAGTTAACCCCCAACAACAACTCCTCCCCGGACGTCGATTAAGGCAGCTCAACTGCACTTCTCTGATTCAGCAGTCTTGGGTTAAATGCGGAAGACACATTTCAGATGAATGCATTCAGTTGTGCAACTGACTAGGTATCCCCTTTCCCCATAGAAGGTGCTGTTGAGGCTACTGTAGACCTTCATTGTAAAACAGTGTGTTTTAATCAGTTGAGCCTCCACTGCTACACACACTTGTTATAAAATGAAGGAAAGGCAGAGTGGCGATAGGTATTTTATTAGGATCCCCATTAGCTGTTGCGAAAGCAGCAACTTCTCTTCCTGGGGTCCACACAAAACATAATACAGAACATTAATAGACAACAGCTCAAGGACAGAACTATATCAATTTAAAAAATGGCACACGTAGCCAACATATCAATACAGACACACAAACTATCTAGGTCAAAGAGTCTAGGCCAATAAATAGAAAGCAAGGCGTCCTACTATTCCACTGCGCATCTCTTATCATTAAATGATGAGGCCGTCTGATTAGGCGCATGCATCGCTATAGACATGATCCTTCGGCGTTTGCTATTGGTCCATCCTCGGATGGTCTCCCTTTGCCTGTCTACTACGCCAGGGTTTCCCAAACTCGGTCCTGGGGCCCCAACTGGGTGCACATTTTGTTTTTTGTCCTACCACTACACAGCTGATACAAATAATCAAAGCTTGATAAGTTGGTTATTTCAATCAGCTGCGTAGTGATAGGGCAAAAAACAAAACGTGCACCCAGGGGGGGGTTTCGGAAACCCTGTACTACACTAGCTTTTTATTTATTTTATTTTAGCAGACGCTCTTATCCAGAGCGACTTACAGTTAGTGAGTGCATACATTTTCATACTGATGTAAAGACTCACCTGCCCTGTGGAAGGAGAACCGGCAGGACCCGTTTCTTTTCAGGGTTAGAGTCCCCGTGTCGGTGAGGTTAGGGTTGATAGGCTACAGCCAAAGCTAAACCCGAACAAGAACCTTCAAATGAAACCGAAAGGAGCGCTAGATGTGTGTAGGTCCAGTTCTTAGTAGAAAATTCCTACTCTTGTAGTGTACCACGCCAGTGGACGTCAGACAGCAATGTCTATAGCTACAGAAGGATTTTGTCTTACATATGTACAGATAGACACGCACACGGGCTTGACTGGAGACACAATAGCGCATGCTCAGCTAGGCCCTTGATGTCTTTCCTCTGTCCCCTCCTTCAGAACCGTGCTTCAACCAATCGGAGGCGTCCGTACCTGTGATGCATCCGGACTGTCATTCGGTGATTTTATAAACCTAGCCTACTCATCCTCCTCCTTCTTCCCTCCCGTTCTCTCCTCTTCCTTCTATCTCGCTTTCGCAGTACTCTCCGTTTCGCTAAGTTTATCTCTGCTGTCATTGTTATGAAAAAAAATGGCGTCTTCCACTTTCTCCTTGGTCTGTGTATATTTGTGACGTTCTATAGTGCCATCTAGTGGTCTTCTAGGCGAATCGCAGCAACATTACTTAATTTACCTATTGCTATGGACGTCCCAAGGATCCCTGATAGCAAGGACCATTCTTCAGGAAGCATGCGCCACAAACATAGGCATGCTGCCCAAAAATGCAGTGATGGGGAGTAGTTAACTACATGTAGTTCAACTAGTAGGCCTATTTGAATTACATTTTGCTGTAGCTTGGTGGTAGTTTAACTAAATTCAAATCTTGGTAGTGTTTTCACTAGTTAATTACTTTTTTGTCATGTAGTGGTGTAGCTAACTACTGGAACTACACACTACTTTTTTTGCAAAAAGAAAAGAAAATATGGGTAAAGTTGGCAATAATTTCCTTTCTTTTTCGGCATGAGACCTGCCTAATTACATTTTACATTTACATTTTAGTCATTTAGCAGACGCTCTTATCCAGAGCGACTTACAGGAGCAATTAGGGTTAAGTGCCTTGCTCAAGGGCACATTTAGGTCATTTAGCAGACGCTCTTATCCAGAGCGACTACAAATTGGTGCATTCACCCTATAGCCAGTGGGATAACCACTTTACAATTATACTTTTTTTTTTTTTTTTTGGGGGGGGGGGGGTAGAAGGATTACTTTATCCTATCCCAGGTGTTCCTTAAAGAGGTGGGGTTTCAAATGTCTCCGGAAGGTGGTGAGTGACTCCGCTGTCCTGGCGTCGTGAGGGAGCTTGTTCCACCATTGGGGTGCCAGAGCAGCGAACAGCTTTGACTGGGCTGAGCGGGAACTATGCTTCCGCAGAGGAAGGGGAGCCAGCAGGCCAGAGGTGGATGAACGCAATGCCCTCGCCTGGGTGTAGGGACTGATCAGAGCCTGAAGGTACGGAGGTGCCGTTCCCCTCACTGCTCCATAGGCAAGCACCATGGTCTTGTAACGGATGCGAGCTTCAACTGGAAGCCAGTGGAGTGTGCGGAGGAGGGGGGTGACGTGAGAGAACTTGGGAAGGTTGAACACCAGACGGGCTGCGGCATTCTGGATGAGTTGTAGGGGTTTAATGGCACAGGCAGGGAGCCCAGCCAACAGCGAGTTGCAGTAATCCAGACGGGAGATGACAAGTGCCTGGATTAGGACCTGTGCCGCTTCCTGTGTAAGGCAGGGTCGTACTCTCCGAATGTTGTAGAGCATGAACCTGCAGGATCGGGTCACCGCCTTGATGTTGGCGGAGAACGACAGGGTGTTGTCCAGGGTCACGCCAAGGCTCTTCGCACTCTGGGAGGAGGACACAACGGAGTTGTCAACCGTGATGGCGAGATCATGGAACGGGCAGTCCTTCCCCGGGAGGAAGAGCAGCTCCGTCTTGCCAGGGTTCAGCTTGAGGTGGTGATCCGTCATCCATACTGATATGTCGGCCAGACATGCAGAGATGCGATTCGCCACCTGGTTATCAGAAGGGGGAAAGGAGAAGATTAGTTGTGTATCGTCAGCGTAGCAATGATAGGAGAGGCCATGTGAGGATATGACAGAGCCAAGTGACTTGGTGTATAGGGAGAAAAGGAGAGGGCCTAGAACTGAGCCCTGGGGGACACCAGTGGTGAGAGCACGTGGTGCGGAGACAGCTTCTCGCCACGCCACTTGGTAGGAGCGACCGGTCAGGTAGGACGCAATCCAGGAGTGAGCCGCGCCGGAGATGCCCAGCTCGGAGAGGGTGGAGAGGAGGATCTGATGGTTCACTGTATCAAAGGCAGCAGACAGGTCTAGAAGGACAAGAGCAGAGGAGAGAGAGTTAGCTTTAGCAGTGCGGAGAGCCTCCGTGACACAGAGAAGAGCAGTCTCAGTTGAATGACCAGTCCTGAAACCTGACTGGTTTGGATCAAGAAGGTCATTCTGAGAGAGATAGCAAGAGAGTTGGCTAAAGACGGCACGCTCAATAGTTTTGGAAAGAAAAGAAAGAAGGGATACTGGTCTGTAGTTGTTGACATCAGTGGGATCGAGTGTTGGTTTTTTGAGAAGGGGTGCAACTCTCGCTCTCTTGAAGACGGAAGGGACATGGCCAGCGGTCAAGGATGAGTTGATCAGCGAGGTGAGGTAGGGGAGAAGGTCACCGGAGATGGTCTGGAGAAGAGAGGAGGGGATGGGGTCAAGCGGGCAGGTTGTTGGGCGGCCTGCAGTCACTAGTCGCAAGATTTTATCTGGAGAGAGAGGGGAGAAAGAAGTCAAAGCATAGGGTAGGGCAGTGTGAGCAGGACCAGCAGTGTCATTAGACTTAACAAACGAGGATCGGATGTCGTCAACCTTCTTTTCAAAGTGGTTGACAAAGTCATCCACAGAGAGGGAGGAGGGGGGGGGGGGGGGGGAGGATTCAGCAGTGAGGAGAATGTGGCAAAGAGCTTCCTAGGGTTAGAGGCAGATGCTTGGAATTTAGAGTGGTAGAAAGTGGCCTTAGCAGCAGAAACAGATGAAGAAAATGTAGAGAGGAGGGAGTGAAAAGATGCCAGGTCGGCAGGGAGTTTAGTTTTCTTCCATTTCCGCTCAGCTGCCCGGAGCTCTGTTCTGTGAGCTCGCAATGAGTCATCAAGCCACAGAGCTGGAGGGGAGGACCGAGCCGGCCGGGAGGATAGGGGACACAGAGAGTCAAAGGATGCAGAAAGGGAGGAGAGGAGGGTTGAGGAGGCAGAATCAGGAGATTGGAGGGAGAAGGATTGAGCAGAGGGAAGAGATGATAGGATGGAAGAGGAGAGAGTAGTGGGAGAGAGAGAGCGAAGGTTGCGGCGGCGCGTTACCATCTGTGTAGGGGCAGAGTGAGTAGTGTTGGAGGAGAGCGAGAGAGAGAAGGATACAAAGTAGTGGTCGGAGACATGGAGGGGAGTTGCAGTGAGATTAGTAGAAGAGCAACATCTAGTAAAGATGAAGTCAAGCGTATTGCCTGCCTTGTGAGTGGGGGGGGATGGTGAGAGGGTGAGGTCAAAAGAGGAGAGGAGTGGAAAGAAGGAGGCAGAGAGAAATGAGTCAAATGTAGACGTGGGGAGGTTGAAATCCCCCAAGACTGTGATTCTCAATTCTCAATTGAAACATCGTTTTTGTGTTTAATAGGATAAATTACACATTATGTTAAAAATTTTTATTTTATTTTTTTATTTAACCTTTATTTAACCAGGTAAGCCAGTTGAGAACAAGTTCTCATTTACAACTGCGACCTGGCCAAGATAAAGCAAAGCAGTGCGATAAAAACAACAACACAGAGTTACATATGGGGTAAAACAAAACATAAAGTCAAAAATACAACAGAAAATAGAAAACATTGACTCCAGAGTGATCTGTTTTGCAATTTGTAGCCTATACATTTCAGATTTACATTTAATACAAATTGTAATTCGTAACATATCATATGAAATGGATGATGGAATTCCACAAATTAATACATACCATACCATAGGAAACGTCACATATCATAGTAATTGGAGTGTCCCGGATTTATGTTTACTATGTTAGGTCTAATATTGTGCAATCCTCTTACTGTTGCAATGTGGACTGGGGAAATAACCACAGTTTCCTAATAGTTAAATTTTTCTATACTGCATGACTTTATGTGTGTGTGTGTGCGTGAGAGAGAGAGCGAGAGAGCTCTAGGCCAGGCCATGCTGTCTGTGTATGCTTTAGTTCCATGGTCTGGTCTCTGGTCTGTTTCATTCATTCATGCCACACCGCACGCATACGCACACACACACACACACACACACACACACACACACACACACACACACACACACACACACACACACACACACACACACACACACACACACACACACACACACACACACACACACACACACACACACACAAACATAACTAATCTGCTCCAAGCTAGGTCACATGAGCTATGTTGTTATGACAGAGACAGAGAAAATCTCTGTTCCAACACTTTACTTCTGAGACAACATGTGATTTGCTAGAACAGGATCACTGGGGACAGTATAGGGCCTAGGGATAGGGGCTATGGTTAGTGCTTAAGTGTAGGGGTATGGGGGTATGATGGATGGGGTATGGGTGTATGAGGTGGGGCTGGGTATGGGGTTGTGTTTTCTGCAGTCTGAGCTGTCAATATGTTACAGGTATAAAGGGTGGTATTACCATATCAGGATTATGGTATAGTTATGGTATAGTTTTGCTGTCCCAGAATTGTCCCTGGTTTCAATGAGAAGATGTAATGATACTTTATGCCACAGGAACACTGTTCCCTTATTCACTACTGTATATATATGTAGTACAACAACAACAACAACAACAAACACATACCTTATCAGGGTTTAGGATCACTAGTGGCCCGTGCTCATACCTCAGATGATGACATCATAGATGTCCCAAATGGCACCCTATTCCCTTTATAGTGCACTACATTTGACCAGGGCCATGGCACTCTATTCCCTTTATAGTGCACTACATTTGACCAGGGCCATGGCACTCTATTCCCTTTATAGTGCACTACATTTGACCAGAGCTATGGCACCCTATTCCCTTTATAGTGCACTACATTTGACCAGGGCCATGGCACTCTTTTCCCTTTATAGTGCACTACTTTTGAAAGGGAATAGGGTGCCATTTGGGACATTAACAAAACAAAAACTCTGATGAGGGATTAAGAAGAGGGATCAAGCCATAGTAGTATACTCTGTATTCCTCTGAGGATGGCTTTAGTTTACAACACATATACATCTTAGTATATCTGTCTTATTATTATTACACATATTATAAGGTGGCACTGACATACTGTACATCTAAAGCTTATTCTGACTCGCTGGTCCATTGGTGACAGAGCAGAACCAGTGACCCTCCCTGTGTCACTTAGAACTATGACCAGACGCAACCAGTAGGGGTAGAACCCACCGACCGTAGGGGTACCTCTACACTCTAGAACTGACTTGGAATTAAACAAAATACCTGTAGGATCAAATGATCCAATAATACTTATACTAAACATGTAAGGCTACGATTCTATCAATTAGTGTTCTGTAAGTGGTAAGAAAACAACCACACAGATTTTGTCTGGCCTTAACTTTAACACCTGTTACCCATAGTGGAGTACAGGTGAGAGCTTGACACCTGGCTTTAGGATGCTATTATTATATATTACTGTCTATACATATCTACATACACACTGAGTCTTCCTTTAGTGGTCTACAGTGGCACTCTACATTTACAATCAATGCATTCTCTTCTGGTGCATATTGTACAATATGAACGATTCTTAGTGCTAGCAAATCACACATCACATCTGACAAACATGCTTCAGTTCTTTTCTTTTTAGTGTCTCTGTGGTGTTTGGTGCCAGTGTCCCTGCTCGGGATCAGTCCAGCTTTCTGTACGCTACATCAACTGTCTCAAACACTCTTCAGAGAAGTGTGTCAGTGTGTCCACAGATATCCTTTCCTGGCGAGCCTCTGCTGGGTGGGGAGGGTGTGTGTGCGTGTGTGTGTTTGTACAGCATGTGTGAGTGTGGAGAGATTGTGGGTGTGTGTGTGTGTATAGTATGTTTGAGTGCAGACAGATAGTGTGTGTGTGTGTGTACAGAATGTGTAAGTGCAGAGACATTGTGTGCTATAGCTACGGCATCCTCATCTGGAGGTCAGCAACATTGTGATGAGTTTCTCTCCTCTATTTCCACTCTTACACTCTCTCTCCATCATTTGATTGGTAATTTGTCCTTTGGGTCCAATGAGGAGGCAGAGTACTAGAAGCTCATAGGATCAGCAGTGTTGAGCAGTTTGGTCCTTCTTTCTCTTTTCTTTGGGAGGCTGAGAAGCTTTAAAGTAGCAGAGGTCCCAGTAGTTCTCGTCTCGTCTCGTCTCGTCTCGTCTCGTCTCGTCTCGTCTCGTCTCGTCTCGTCTCGTCTCGTCTCGTCTCGTCTCGTCTCGTCTCTTCTCTTCTCTTTCTCTAGTGTTCTCTTTAGTCCAGAAGCAGTGGCAGGTTGAGACTAGTGCAGCAGTAAAGGAACTAGTTTCTACACATGTACATATCTGTGGATTAGCTAATCCTATACATACTGCACTAGATTTAGGGTGTGTGTGTGTGTGTGTAAGTGGGTGTCTTGGGATTGGACAGGGGTTGTGTCTAGACAGAAGTACAGGATCGGACGTTGGTGGAATGGCGTAGAACGTTCTGCTGGGCTCTAGAGCACGTTCTCAAAAAGCTGCATGGAGTTCATTATGTTCTCATCCTGGAAAATAAACATACAGAAAAGAACATTGCGCGAAAGTCATGAGGCTGTTTCTTTTTCTCACTTGGATTATTAGTCTATAAACTAAAACCTCCAGCAAATCTCCCACTTACATCTACATAACACTTTACTTGGAGGTGTTATTCATAAGACATTCACAACACCTTTATGAAACCAGTAATAACACCTTCATGAGTATTGCAGTATGATTCATAACAACCTTCATAACACATTATTCAATATCATTCATAAGGAGTTTTCAAAATAAAAGTTCATTTTCATTACATAACTAAAAGTTATCAGTAACACTGAAATAGTTATTTATTTATCCATTGTACAACACAAATGTGTATGTTCACAGCCACAGTACCCAACCCCCTAAGTGTTATCCTAAGAATACATGTTTTGGGCGTATCTTGACAGAAAACACACTGTAGGCCTAACTTGACATTGGTTCCAGGCCTTTATTGTCCATGTTACAGAGAACAACATAAATGTGTCTTCTGCTCTCATTCCTCAACTCTCCCAGATAGCACACATCCCGCACACACACACGTAGTGCAGCGCCCTTGGATGGAGAGTATGTTGTGGGTTTAAGGGCCTTGCTCAAGGGCCCAACGGAAGGGAATTGTTGTCAGGAACTGAACAGTTACCAGATCAGTTCCCCCCTTATTCCAGCTCCCGGTGTATGTGACAATAATAATAAAATAAAAAAATCAAACTGGTGACCTTTCGGTTACAGGTCCAACTCCTTAGCTGCTGGGCTTCCTACAGCCCCCTTGGATGCATCTCTTGGATATCGTCACATATATATTATTTATTATTACATATAATAGGGTGGCTAAGCTGATATTTCCATAATGATCGTTCATTTTGTGATAAAAGCACAACATTTGGCAGAGAGGTATATTTATGTGTCCTGAAAATATTTAGATATCGGGCCATCACAGATATTGCCCCTCGGGGTCATGGCACTCATCTTACAAATTAAAGGGTGAATAAAATAAACAAATAAACACATCCAGGAAAGAGTAGCTTGGCATTACCAACAACAGGAGTAAACAGCACATGACTGACAATAATGACTCCTGGGTCAAGTCATTGCTTCCAGTCCAACTCCTGGGTCAAGTCATTGCTTCCAGTATGACTCCTGGGTTAAAATCTGTGACCCAGGAGTCGTTCCTGTCAGTTGTGTGTTGTTAACTCCTGAATCAAGGTTCATGCCAAGCTGCACCTTCCAGGATTGGTAAAAAATAAAATAATTATGTGGGCCCAAATCAAGGGAGGGGATGTTCTGATCAGTGGTGTAGTGGAGGGTAAACCCACATAAACACCGTTCACACACCTGTTTTATTTGTGCAAGCATTTACCCACCTATTGCGGAAAAATGCATTGAGAGGAAGGGAGCGTTAGTTTATTCACAGCGAATGGCGACCAGTGTTTAGCCACATATTTTCTTACCACTACTGATTCCACTAAGATTTGATTAGATTCCCCTCTGGGTTCCCAGAGAGAGATGACAAGAAAAAACAGTGTCACCCCTACTGCTTTCTCTTGTTAACATGGTTCTCCAGGGTCCCAGTCTGACCCTAGTGACATCTTATCAAAACAATCTGACATTTAGAAAATAACAGAGTTGGGGTCAATTCCATTTAAATTCAAGTCAATTTAGAAAGTAAACCAAATTCCAATTCCAAATTCCAAATGTTCCTAATTGAAAAGCATTGAAGAGAATTTAAATTGGAATGACAGGGTACTTCCTGGAATTAAAATGGAATTGATCACAACCCTGGAAAACACTTTTTTTTTTTTTAAATCTGGGAGTTTGTAGAATATTGTAATAATGTGACTTGCGACAGCAAAAGTCTCACTTTAAATATTGTAAATATACTTGAAATATTGTAAAATATTGTATTTTTATTATTCTTTTAAATGCTATTTTTCGTACACCGTTTATGCTAGAAACGCCATTGAAACTTTAAAATGTGTAGACTAGTCAACTTTTTGATAACAATAATACTTATAAACTATTACGTTTTTTGTCCTCCCCCCAAAAAATCTCATCCACTTTAATGCTATTTCTTCAACATTCTAAAGGTCCCATTGTTAAAAACTCACAGACTTCCAACATTCTATTCACAGTAAACCACTTTTGACATAAATCAGCTACTTTCACTACTTTCTCAACAAGTTAGACAAAAACTTAGATCATGTGAAATATTATTCTGCTTCTCTGCTATTCAAATCTGAAATCGGAACAGAAATACCTTCTGTTTTAGTAACCACATCTGTTGTAACTTTCATGGGTTACAGAGTTAATGTTCACAGTTAACTTAGGTTTTGAATCCAAACAACTCAGATGCTTATAAAAGGGTCTAAGATTCATTGTTCTTACACTGAGCTGCACTGGGGTTGGAATGTAATCATGGTTACATTAAGACACCGTGGAGCCGGCGCAAGATGTTGGGGGTTGGAAAACGTACCTCAATGCAGGGATTGGATATGTAACTGTACTCCACAATTTTTTTTTTATTTTTTTTTTTAAGGGGGTAGATCAGCTTAATATTGCAGATAGATTGTAACTTCCATCAATGTAATTGTCTGCATCACTTCCAATCCACCATGTTTATATATATATATATATATATATATATATATATATATATATATACAGTGGGGAGAACAAGTATTTGATACACTGCCGATTTTGCAGGTTTTCCTACTTACAAAGCATGTAGAGGTCTGTAATTTTTATCATAGGTACACTTCAACTGTGGGAGACGGAATCTAAAACAAAAATCCAGAAAATCACATTGTATGATTTTTAAGTAATTAATTTGCAATTTATTGCATGACATAAGTATTTGATACATCAGAAAAGCAGAACTTAATATTTGGTACAGAAACCTTTGTTTGCAATTACAGAGATCATACGTTTCCTGTAGGTCTTGACCAGGTTTGCACACACTGCAGCAGGGATTTTGGCCCACTCCTCCATACAGACCTTCTCCAGATCCTTCAGGTTTCAGGGCTGTCGCTGGGCAATACGGACTTTCAGCTCCCTCCAAAGATTTTCTATTGGGTTCAGGTCTGGAGACTGGCTAGGCCACTCCAGGACCTTGAGATGCTTCTTACGGAGCCACTCCTTAGTTGCCCTGGCTGTGTGTTTCGGGTCGTTGTCATGCTGGAAGACCCAGCCACAACCCATCTTCAATGCTCTTACTGAGGGAAGGAGGTTGTTGGCCAAGATCTCGCGATACATGGCCCCATCCATCCTCCCCTCAATACGGTGCAGTCGTCCTGTCCCCTTTGCAGAAAAGCATCCCCAAAGAATGATGTTTCCCACCTCCATGCTTCACGGTTGGGATAGTGTTCTTGGGGTTGTACTCATCCTTCTTCTTCCTCCAAACACGGCGAGTGGAGTTTAGACCAAAAAGCTCTATTTTTGTCTCATCAGACCACATGACCTTCTCCCATTCCTCCTCTGGATCATCCAGATGGTCATTGGCAAACTTCAGATGGGCCTGGACATGCGCTGGCTTGAGCAGGGGGACCTTGCGTGCGCTGCAGGATTTTAATCCATGACGGCATAGTGTGTTACTAATGGTTTTCTTTGAGACTGTGGTCACAGCTCTCTTCAGGTCATTGACCAGGTCCTGCCGTGTAGTTCTGGGCTGATCCCTCACCTTCCTCATGATCATTGATGCCTCACAAGGTGAGATCTTGCATGGAGCCCCAGACCGAGGGTGATTGACCGTCATCTTGAACTTCTTCCATTTTCTCATAATTGCGCCAACAGTTGTTGCCTTCTCACCAAGCTGCTTGCCTATTGTCCTGTAGCCCATCCCAGCCTTGTGCAAGTCTACAATTTTATCCCTGATGTCCTTACACAGCTCTCTGGTCTTGGCCATTGAGGAGAGGTTGGAGTCTTGTCACAGCGACGTGTATGCGGTAGGCAAAGTCAAGAGCAGGACACCGAGCTACTGGCAGAAACTTTACTGGATTCAGTGCAAAAATACAAAGTACACTGGCAACCTCAAACAGCGAGGGAAATAACAAGACCCGCACACAATGGCAACTGCCGCAAAGACCAAAACAATAACGCACAATACACAATGAGAAACAGAGGGTTATAAAGGGAACACAATAAAACATAATGGGAAACAGGTGTAAACAATAAAGACCAAACAAGACAAACACCGAAACATCGATCGGCAGCAGCTAGTACTCCTGGGACGACGAACGCCGAAGCCTGCCCGAGCAAGGAGGAGGAGCAGCCTCGGCTGAATCCGTGACAAGTCTGTTTGATTGAGTGTGTGGACAGGTGTCTTTTATACAGGTAACGAGTTCAAACAGGTGCAGTTAATACAGGTAATGAATGGAGAACAGGAGGGCTTCTTAAAGAAAAACTAACAGGTCGGTGAGAGCCGGAATTCTTACTGGTTGGTAGGTGATCAAATACTTATGTCATGCAAGAAAATGCAAATTAATTACTTAAAAATCATACAATGTGATTTTCTGGATTTTTGTTGTCTCTCACAGTTGAAGTGTACGTATGATAAAAATTACAGACCTCTACATGCTTTGTAAGTAGGAAATATATATATATATATACATACACATACACATATACACACATACATACATACATACACATACAGTGAGGGAAAAAAGTATTTGATCCCTTGCTGATTTTGTACGTTTGCCCACTGACAAAGAAATGATCAGTCTATACTTTTAATGGTAGGTTTATTTGAACAGTGAGAGACAGAATAACAACAAAAAAATCAAAAAAACGCATGTCATAAATGTTATAAATTGATTTGCATTTTAATGAGGGAAATAGGTATTTGAGCCCCTCTCAATCAATAAGATTTCTGGCTTCCATGTGTCTTTTATACAGGTAACGAGCTGAGATTAGGAGCACACTCTTAAAGGGAGTGCTCCTAATCTCAGCTTGTTACCTGTATAAAAGACACCTGTCCACAGAAGCAATCAATCAATCAGATTCCAAACTCTCCACCATGGCCAAGACCAAAGAGCTCTCCAAGGATGTCAGGGACAATATTGTAGACCTACACAAGGCTGGAATGGGCTACAAGACCATCGCCAAGCAGCTTGGTGAGAAGGTGACAACAGTTGGTGCAATTATTCGCAAATGGAAGAAACACAAAATAACTGTCAATCTCCCTCGGCCTGGGGCTCCATGCAAGATCTCACCTCGTAGAGTTGCAATGATCATGAGAACGGTGAGGAATCAGCCCAGAACTACACGGGAGGATCTTGTCAATGATCTCAAGGCAGCTGGGACCATAGTCACCAAGAAAACAATTGGTAACACACTACGCCGTGAAGGACTGAAATGCTGCAGCGCCCGCAAGGTCCCCCTGCTCAAGAAAGCACATATACATGCCCGTCTGAAGTATGCCAATGAACATCTGAATGATTCAGAGGAGAACTGGGTGAAAGTGTTGTGGTCAGATGAGACCAAAATCAAGCTCTTTGGCATCAACTCAACTCGCCGTGTTTGGAGGAGGAGGAATGCTGCCTATGACCCCAAGAACACCATCCCCACCGTCAAACATGGAGGTGGAAACATTATGCTTTGGGGGTGTTTTTCTGCTAAGGGGACAGGACAACTTCATCGCATCAAAGGGACGATGGACGGGGCCAAGTACCGTCAAATCTTGGGTGAGAACCTCCTTCCCTCAGCCAGGGCATTGAAAATGGGTCGTGGATGGGTATTCCAGCATGATAATGACCCAAAACACACGGCCAAGGCAACAAAGGAGTGGATCAAGAAGCAGCACATTAAGGTCCTGGAGTGGCCTAGCCAGACTCCAGACCTTAATCCCATAGAAAATGTGTGGAGGGAGCTGAAGGTTCGAGTTGCCAAACGTCAGCCTCAAAACCTTAATGACTTGGAGAAGATCTGCAAAGAGGAGTGGGACAAAATCCCTCCTGAGATGTGCGCAAACCTGGTGGCCAACTACAAGAAACGTCTGACCTCTGTGATTGCCAACAAGGGTTTTGCCACCAAGTACTAAGTCATGTTTTGCAGAGGGGTCAAATACTTATTTCCCTCATTAAAATGCAAATCAATTTATAACATATTTGACATGCGTTTTTCTGGATTTTTTTGTTGTTATTCTGTCTCTCACTGTTCAAATAAACCTACCATTAAAATTATAGACTGATAATTTCTTTGTCAGTGGGCAAACGTACAAAATCAGCAGGGGATCAAATACATTTTTCCCTCACTGTACATATCTTTTAAAAATATATATTCCCCTTTATTACTTTCCAACCCCACCACCCTTTCCCTACTTGGAGTAAACTAGTGAACAACAATGCTTAGGCCTCTACTTCCAGCTTATACTTAATATCTACATATGCATATCTTTCTAACTGTGCTATTTCACAAAAGCTCCCAACCTACAACCTATATACTTATTATTTATTATGGACACAGTATGCTTACATTATTAGTTATCTTGTTATTATTTGTTGTTAGTTGTTATTAGTCCCATCCTTCAACTCCATTCAACACCTCCCATCTATCTCTTAACACCATCCATATACTGTAGGATTTCTATTTGCCATATATTTTTCAACTGTACTGTGATATTTTACAAAAATTCTGAACCTTTCTTTTCTCATTGTTTCTACAGATTGTGAATTGAAAATAAACATTTTTGCTAAAAGTATTATTATATTATTGATCGATTTACTATGACTTTTCAGATCACGCAGTAATGATATCTGCAAGGTTAGCTCCAGGTAAATATTGCAATCCTTTAGCCATTCCTGGACCTGTGTCCAAAAACAAGCTACAAATGGACAGTACCAAAACAAATGATCTAATGATTCTGTCTCTTCGCAGCAAAATCTGCAGAGCTGGGAAGATTGTATCCCCCATATAAATTACATTCTATTGGTAGCAAGAATTTTATATAATAATTTAAATTGAAAGATTCTAAGTTTTGAATCCGGTGTCGTTTTGCGTATCAGTTCATAAACACTATGCCATGGGATCGGTACGTCAAAAATCTCTTCCCAACTATTTTGCAATCTATATGGGATGGCTGTCAATCCTTTGGTCTGTCATGAATCCTGCTTCCTGAGTCTGTTTCTGCCTGAGTTGCCTGTTTTCTGTCTTGGAGTCTGTTTCCTGAAGGTTCCTGAACGCACCCTGTCTGGTTGCCGGGCGACGAAGCTAGGCGGGAGATCTCTCGATTACCCGCACCTGCATCTCTTCAGCTATCTGCACACCTGGTCCTGATCATCACCTCTTCACTTCATAAGCTCTGACCTGACATCCATTCCCTGCCGGATCGTTAGCCATGAACAGTATGTTGTGTCAGCGTATCAGCCTCAAGTTTTCTAGAGTTAGTTTTGTACTTTTTGCTTGCCGTGTACTTACCTCCGTTTACTCTGTCTACAGTTATTCTCCCGGAACATTCACTCCACCCTTGCCTGGTCGTCGGTGGGTTCTGTAACATCATTGGATCTGCCTATTCACTTCCACCAACTCACCTCCGCTGCCCGCTCCGTCTCCTGAATTATCCTGCTTCCACATTTGAGTCGTTAAATAAATACTCCCCTTCTGTCTACTCACCTTGTCCTGGTCTGCTTCTGGGTTCTGCTTTAGAGAATCGTGACATGGTCCTTAAATGAAACTGGTATACTTTTTTATTTATCACAGTTTTCCTTCCAATTATGTTCTTTAATGCAAGGCCGACAGACAAGCTCCTTACTTTCTCCCCCTTCCACTTTCCTCTTCCATTTTTGCGGTAAGGCTGCAATTATTTGGTTGTAATTTTGGGTAGAGCAGACATTTCCATATGTTTTTGTTAGCTGCATGTGCGACATAACTCCACCAGTTCTACCGATGATATCATTTACGAAGATTATACCTTTTAAAAACATTTTGTCAAAAAAAAAGGTTTTTGGTCAATTAGAATATTTGAGTTTAACCACAATATTTGTTGCATTATTTGCTCTGTCGTTTCTGGAGGATTAAATTGAAATTGCAACCAACTTTCTATGGCTTGTTTTAGAAATAGTGGTATTTGGGAGATGATTTCCTTTTCAAATAACTGAAAGTGAGAGGTTGTAATCTGAATAAAGGGAAAAAGGCCATTCTTGAACATTGGGTGACACAATCTTACTAATTTGCTAGAGAACCAGTTCGGATTTAAGTATAACTTTTGTATGACTGAAGCTTTTAGTGATAGGTCTAATACTTTAATATTTAATAATTTCTGTCCTCATTCATATTCATTATATAAATAGGCCCGTTTAATTTTGTCTGGCTTGCCGTTCAAAATAAAATGGAATATTTTTTTCTCATATAATTTAAAAAACTGTTCGCTAGGCTTAGGCAAGACCATAAGCAAATAGGTAAACTGGGATAATACTAAAGAGTTATCCACACTGCTCCATCGAGAAGATTGAAATACTGTCCTTTTCGTCCTCATACTAGCTAGCAGTAGCCACAGCAGCCATTATGGAATGGCACGTCGCGTTGAACAACAAAGGAGCTGAATGGCTGACACTGCCATTCCAAAATGGCTGTGGTGGCTACGGCTAGCTAGCATGAGGATGAAAAGGGCAGTTTTCCAGGAAAACTATCAGTATTTCAATCTTCTCGATGGAGCAATGTGGATAGAATTAACATTTGGAGTACAGTAGCATATCCCATCCCTGCATTGAGGTATGTTTTCCGACCCATATCTCACGCCAGCTCCATGGTGTCTTAATGTAACCATGATTGCGTTCTGACCCCAGTGCAGCTCTCTGTAAAGAAGTGTAAAAGTAGGGTCGGTATTTTCTGGCAATTTAATATAAATATGTGCCAAATTTGTGCTTTTATCACAAACTCAACGATTATTATGCTTAGTCACCCCACTAACAGAAAATGTATAATTCAATAAGATAATATTGGTTAATTCCAAGGTGGCATCCTGTCGTATTGAAAGATCACGAGAGAGGATACAAAACAGTCAATGCACACAGTCACTAACTGCTAATCCTGCTTCCAGCCTGTTACGTGACCAGTGTGTCAGAGGGTTGGGTACTGTGGCATTATAAATAAAAATGTCCACTGTTAAATAATCCAATGATTTAAAAAAAGATACATTTCAAGGGACTTTTATTTTGAAAACTTCTTATGAATGATGTTGAATAAATTTGTTAAATGTGAAAAGGTTTGTAACTGATGATGCTGCAAACCTCATAAAGGTAACTGGTATCATAAAGGTGTTATGGAGGCCTTAAGTATAGCCACTACAAGTACTGTTAACAACATCTGTCTTTTATTATTTATTTCAAAATTGAGCTGGTATACAGATGTGCTGAAATGTTGATGTATGTTTTGTAACTTTGGTACCTTCTGACAGGTCTCAATGAACTCCTCAATGGTCACCACTCCATCTCGGTTTCTGTCCATTTTCTGAAGAAAGGAGAAAGGGAGGTAGGGGTAAGGGAGAGGCAGAAAGGAAGGAAGTAAGGAAAGAGGAAGAGAGCAAGTGTAGTGGGAACAACAGCTTTTTTTTGGTGTGTGTGTGTAAACAGTGTTTAAGTGTGTGTGTGTGTTTGTGCGCACAGCGCAGCATGCACCTGGAAGAACTTATCCACGTGTTCAGAGGGTGCCTCGTCCCGTACACTGGGGTAGGTGTACCTGCCCATCATATCATAGATGGACTTCATAATAGCCAGCATCTCCTGAGAGAGATCGATAGAGAGAGTGAGAGTCGTAGTTTTCCGTGATGTATCTAAAGCTAGCCAATCATTTAGATATGCAATGTTTCTATAGTAGCCAATCACAGATTACCTCTTTAGTGATGTATCCGTCCTTGTTGATGTCGTACAAGTTGAAGGCCCAGTTGAGTTTCTCTGTGACTGACCCTCTCAGAAGAACAGACAGGCCGATCACAAAGTCCTCAAAACGAATGGAGCCGTTTCTGTCCATATCAAATGCATTGAACAGGAAATGTGCATAGGTGGTGGCGTCTGTAGGATAGAAGGAGAGAGGGAAGAGAGAGGGGTGAGGAGACGAGGGAGAGGGAAGGGGGAGAGTGTTGGGGGTAGGAAGACATTAAAATTATCGGCAACTATAAGCTTTTCCTGGTATTCTTAATATAAATCTGTCAGTGTCAGGTGTACTATTATCATATTCCAGGCACAATGAGACAGAGAGTCAATGGAGATAAAGTAGCTCTCTCCTCTCACCTCCTTGGGGAAAGAACTGAGAATAGATGGTCTTGAACGTCTCTTCATCAACCAAACCACTGGGACACTCCTACCAGAGAGAGAGAGAGGGGGGAGAACGAGGGAGGGAGGGAGGGAGGGAAGGAGGGGTGTACAGGGTAAAGCCATGTGTCTATTATTGTTAAAGTACATATACTCAAATCTACTCCATCACATTTATTCAACATTCTCATGTAAAACTCCAAACTGCCCACAAATAATGATCCAAGCTCAACCTCTACAGTCCCAGTCCTGCAGCATCCCCACCCCATTCTCTCTGTTCCACTACGTACGTTCTTGTAGCCCCTGTATAGAGACTGGAGCTCCTTCTTGGTGAACTTGGTCTGAACCTGCAGCTGGTCCAAGCCTTCTGGCTGGTGACGAACCGTTGATAGCTCCAAATCACTCTCACTACTGTCTGTAAATACAACCCCCTAAGGGATAGGGACAGAGGGAAATAAGAGAAGAGAGAGAGAGCAGAGAGAGAGAGAGAGAGAGAGAGAGAGAGAGAGAGATAGGATAGAGAGAGAGAGAGAAGAGAAAGAGAAGAGAAGAGAGAGCCGTAGAGAGCAGACTGAGCAGAGAAGGTGGATTAGAGACGAAGGAGAGGGATAAGAGGGGAGAGGTGGAAAGTAGCTAGAGACGCGATGGGAGCTCAAACAGATAATAGATCAGAGGGATGTTATATGGATGACTTGCATTGGCAAGCGGGTAAAGAGAGGAGAGGGAGGGATAACACATTTAAGGGGTGAGATCAAGAAAGAGTTAGCAAAAAAGTGCAAAAGAGCAAGATAAAAATGAAGAGAGGGAGGTACCTTCTTTTATAGTGTGATCTTTGCAAAGAAACTCATTTATATGTTAGTATTCACTGATTCGATTTGAGTGAACAGGTGCCAGATTAGTAATAGTGAAAAAATCAATCCAACTATAGCCATGACTAAGACTGTTGACTATAACACTGTTTGAGGTGTATTAGTCCTACTCCTTCAAACACTGTAAGAGAAAGCACTAAGACTGGGAGAAAGAAAAGCAAGACATAGATCAAAAAGGAGGTGCAGTTTCTAAAAACCAAGAGATTTCTACTGTTTCCATACTTACCATCTTTTAACACACAAAACAGAGAGAGTGTGTGTGAGAAAGAACGATATAGAGAGATGTAAAGACAGTAAATGAAGTAAAGAGAGGTATAGAGAGACAATGAGAAAAGGGAGGGAAAAAACAGAGAACATGGTCAAGTCAAGTCAGACATTGTGGAACACAGATACTGGCTAGGGAGAACAAGAGAGGAATAGACAGAATCTTCATAAATGCAGTTTGTTGCCCTCTCTCCCTCTATCCTCCCTCCAACCTCTCTCCCTCCCTCTCCCTCCATCCAACCTCTCTCTCTCCCGCTCTCCCTCCCTCTCCATCCATCCAACCTCTCTCTCTCCCTCTCCCTCATCCAACCTCTCCCTCTCCTCTCTCCCTCAATCTCCCTCTCTCTTGCCCTCTCTCCCTTTCTCTCTCTCTCCCTCCATCCCCCTCTCTCTCACCGGTCTCTGTGATGTCGATGAGTCCCAGTAGGTGCATCAGTTTGAGGAACATTAATACAAGGCAGACGATCCCAACAGTCTGTAGCCCCTCCGACTCCCACCTGACACTCATCTCCCCTTCTTCCTCCGTCTTTCCGTCTTTTTGTTCCCCCAGGGTGAAAATTATGTCTCTCTGTCCTCTCTCCCTCAGTTCTCTCTCCCTCCGTTCTCTCTTTCTTTCTCTCTGTCAGTCTTTCAATAAAATACCAGCTGTCTCTCAAACTAAAGACAGATCTTGCTTTAGATCCTTGGGATGCTATAAGGTTCATATAGTTCTACAGTTCTAGAGAGAATAGTTCCAACTGTGATGCAAAGAGATTTAAGTTGAAGCCATGAAAAGCGATTGGACCAGACTCACGCTCAATGATATTCAAAAGGACAGAAAACAGCCTCTCAAATAAAACTGAAACTACTGGGAACAAATACAATCCTTCTTTCCATGACAATTCCCACGCTGTTTGTATTCCCAAAAAATTATTCCAATTGTTTACTTATTGTCCCGTCCTTTAACTCCCAAGTCCTGGGACAGCAAGGTTAGATGTTACTGATATCATCCCACTGAATCAAAACTCTGATGAGCGAACAGACATACATCACTTAACCATGAGCATTTACACTCTTCCATCCCTCCTTCTTTCCTTGGCTTCCCCTCCTCCTCTCATTCTCTTCATCCCATTAACCTGTGAACTCCTGTGAAAACTATCCACAGATACAGAAGGAACCTAACACATTTCTTTCAAATAATCGTGAAAAATCAACTAAATTTAGGGACAGTTCCAGCAACAAAATAAATCCCTCCGTACCCCCTGTTTACAAGACAAATCTGTAACAAGATGTCTGCCTTCATTATGAAGATGTTTAACGAGATATTTCCACAACATTGATGGAGTGCTTGTCAGTATACCCATTTGCCTTTAAGGAGTCAGTGTATATGGCTGCTTCTCAACAGTTTAAAGTGGCTTCCTCTCCTCATCTCCTTTCCTTCATCTGCTCTGATCTGATAGAAAAAGACAGGTGGAAGCTGATACCCAATAGAAATCCGCCATATTGCTTTCACCAAGCCTATGTTTTCAGATTAGTGCAGATGATGGAGAGGAGACATGGAAAAGAAGACTCTTTAGTTTATTGTAATGAGACCCAGCCCATCTGTCCTAAATCCCATGTCCCCAGCAGGCTCTGTGATCCAGTTCAAGTCTAATTGTTCTTGTTTCTCCAGAGTTCATTAACACAGCTCTCAGCAGGCAGAGGCTTCACACAGGACTAGTCCCAAATGGCACCATATTCCCTATATAGTGCACTACTTTTGACTAGGGCCCACACCCTATATCGGGCACTACTTTTGACAAGAGCCCTGTGGGCCCTGGTCAAAAGTAGTGCACTATATAGGGAATATGGTGCCATTTGGGACGTACCCATAGTCAGACACAGTCAGATAGAGCAGATGCAGTAATTCGATAGTTCCCTCGAGGCCTGTGACACTTGCCAAAAACCCATCTCGTTATTTCAAGGCCCTCATACTACTGCTCTGCAACTCCCAAACACACACAAGCACACACACATGCACGCATGCACACACACACACACACACACACACACACACACACACACAGAGAAAGACAGCATGACTCCCTTGAAATAGAGACATGAAGTGATCATTACTGTCCTCTAGTGGCAGTAGTAAGGAAGTCGTTGGCAGAAGTCCAGACTGTATTGATCAGTCCACGGCCATTATAACATCTAAGGCCAGACTCATCTCACTGAAGCCACACATAACCCAAAATACACAGCACCACCACACATACCAGAAATACACCAAACAGACCCAAAATACAACACACATTAGGACTGATAAAACGTCTCAAATCTAAAGCAACAACTAGGGATTTGTGTGACACACACATACACCAACACACACAAACACACAAACACACACAAACACGCACAAACAGACACCCATACACAGTATTGGATAGTGGTGGTTAATGGACCTGTTGCTGAGTACTAGGTGGCTATAAATAATGTAGCTGGTAAAACAGATGGCCTTGTTTGACTGCTGATTGATTTGAAGGACCTGGGACTCAGGGCCATACTATGGATGTATGGCTATGTAGCTATTATTATGGCTATGTAACTATAATTATGGCTATGTAACTATTTTTATGGTTATGTAACTATTATTATGGTTATGTAATAATAATATAATAATATGACATTTAGCAGACGCTTTTATCCAAAGCGACTTACAGTCGTGCGTGCATACATTTTTGTGTATGGGTGGTCCCGGGGATTGAACCCACTACCTTGGCGTTACAAGCGCCGTGCTCTACCAGCTGAGCTACAGAGGACTATTATTATGGTTATGTAACTATTATTATGGCTATGTAACTATTATTATGGCTATGTAACTATTATTATGGCTATGTAACTATTATTATGGCTATGTAACTATTATTATGGCTATGTAACTATTTTTATGGTTATGTAACTATTATTATGGTTATGTAATAATAATATAATAATATGCCATTTAGCAGACGCTTTTATCCAAAGCGACTTACAGTCGTGCGTGCATAAATTTTTGTGTATGGGTGGTCCCGGGGATCGAACCCACTACCTTGGCGTTACAAGCGCCGTGCTCTACCAGCTGAGCTACAGAGGACTATTATTATGGTTATGTAACTATTATTATGGCTATGTAACTATTATTATGGTTATGTAACTATTATTATGGCTATGTAACTATTATTATGGCTATGTAACTATTATTATGGCTATGTAACTATTATTATGGTTATGTAACTATTATTATGGCTATGTAACTATGTATTATGGCTATGTAACTATTATTATGGCTATGTAACTATTATTATTGCTATGTAACTATTATTATGGCTATGTAACTATTATTATGGTTATGTAACTATTATTATGGCTATGTAACTATTATTATGGCTATGTAACTATTATTATGGCTATGTAACTATTATTATGGCTATGTAACTATTATTATGGCTATGTAACTATTATTATGGCTATGTAACTATTATTATGGCTATGTAACTATTATTATGGCTATGTAACTATTATTATGGCTATGTAACTATTATTATGGCTATGTAACTATTATTATTGCTATGTAACTATTATTATGGCTATGTAACTATTATTATGGCTATGTAACTATTATTATTGCTATGTAACTATTATTATGGCTATGTAACTACACTGAACAAAAATATGAATGCAACATGCAACAATTTCAAAGATTTTACTGAGTTACAGTTCATATAAGGAAACCAGTCAATTTAAAGAAATTCATTACGCCCTAATCCAGGGGTTCCCAAACTTGTTTGGTCCACAACCCCATTTTGATATCTGAAAATTCTCGCAACCCAACCATGTGAAAAAATATTATGTAATTAACAGCAAATGTTTACTTTTTTATTTGGGGCTATGGCAGTCAATTGAAAAACATTCTAACATTATTTCTGATTGTCTTCTCAACTCACCATCACATACTTTTAATGTGAGGCTATGACAGTCAGTTGCAAATTAGTCTGACATTATGTCTCTTATCTCACCACCACTAATGAGATGGGTGTGTTTGATGCATGGAGCGTCAGAGTTCTCAAAGTCCGGGCGAGTGGTGTAGACATTTCGCACCTCATCTCTGCTGTCACATCCAACCTGGATCGATATTTGGTTTTAATGCAGACGAGAGCACTGATGCCACGTTCAAAACAACTGGGAACTCGGAAAAATACTAGGTAAAATCATGACGTCAGTGATCTTCTAGAAAGAGCCCCGAGTTCCCGATTTGGAATTCCGAGTTGGATGAGCTTGTTTTCCCCCGAGTTCCAGGTTGTTTTGAAGGCACTGAAGTCGGAAGTCGGAGATTTCAGAGTTCCCAGTTCTGAGTTCCCAGTTGTTTTGAACGCCGCATAATGCTCATAGGGAGACGGCAGGGTATTTATTCCCTTTGAGTCAGGAACCAAAACTCCTCCGTAGTGACCCGTGAATGCGAGAGTTTCCTCTTGATTACTAGGAATAGCATAACTTATTCGTTTAAAAGTGTTATATGACAAAGGTATTGATGTGAGTTTCTTTGCCTCTGCCCAGTGCTGTAGTGGGCTACTCCAGACCGGTCCAGACCACTTATTGAGTGTCTCGGTCTTGTCTCGGTGTCGGTGTCGGATAAATTTTTTCTAGGTCTTGACTTGGTCTAGGACAGTGAGAACTCGTAATTTCTTCCCGAGACCAGCGGAGTAAAAAAACTCATTATCAACTTCCATTCAGTCAGCGTATAAAACCGCTTCGCCAGGCCAAATACATACGCTCCTTTCTTGAAACATTAATGTTATCGCCTATTGAAAAGTGGTCTTTCTACTTTACTCGTAACATTACTGTCCTTTCCTTTTGTTGAAAAATATCCTCAAACTTTTGTCCGAATTTCCTTGACTCACTGGTAGGGAAGAGTGGCGGAAATGGTTGGAAAGGTTGAGTGCTCCTTATTAGTAAGGGGAGACCGGGGGAAATTGTAACAGTCTTTATATCTATTATAGACATGTTTGCATAGTGGCGAACCTATTGGACCTTGGCCTTCAGTGTGTGACAGGCTCGTGATGCTGAAAGGACAGCAACAGTAGCCTCTCGTGAGTGCACTTTTTGTAAAACACGGACGGCCAGTGGTATTGTGGAGGCTATACGCAGGTATACCCAGTGGTGTAAAAAGTACCCAATTATCATACTTGAGTAAAAGTAAAGATACCTTAGTAGAAAATGACTCAAGTAAAAGTGAATGTAACCCAGTAAAATACTCCTTGAGTAAAAGTCTAAAAGTATTTGGTTTCAAATATACTTAAGTATCAAAAGTAAAAGTATAAATAATACAAAATTCCTCATATTAAGCAAACCACACGGCACAATTTTACTTGTTTTTTTAAATTTACGGATAGCCAGGGGCAGGCTCCAACACTTGGACATCATTTACAAACGAAACATGTGTGTTTATTGAGTTTAGTGAGTCAGCCAGATCAGAGGCAGTAGAGATGACCAGGGATGTTCTCTTGATAA